CCCCCCCCCCCCCCCAATTGATTTAAATATCGATTTACTTCCGACGGCCTTGAAACTACAACTGATCCAGACACAACTGATACTTGTGCGAGGAGAAAATGTGCCCTTTCTTCCAGCAATTAAAGAGGAATTATAAACGCCCCTAAGCTAACAAGTCTACATGAATGCCTTGCCTTGTTGTCATGCACGTTACATTAATCAATTAATGTAAAAAAATTAAATTTGTGGTCAATGTGTTTATGTTATAGTTTAGGACACAGAGCTATTAGAGAATACGTATAACAGGGGTGGAAACACTAGGCGAGTACGCGAAAGAAATGTTAAACAGCTGCAGGAAATTCGTTTGAATGAAGTTTTGTCATTGAAAATTTGAAGAAAACCTTAACACCCACTATGGGCGCTGTTAACAACATACGGTTGACAAACATTATTCCTTGAATTTAAAACCATGGTCAGCTGAAACACTATATGTTTATGCCCTGACATACCTCCGAGGTTGTATATTGCATGCATCCAAACCTCTAGACCTTTTAAGGACACATCTAACATATTTAGGATGTTTGTTGACTCAAGTATCCGTTTTGGTAAGTGCCTCAGTGCCCCCACCCACTTCGAGGTGCTTCCTACGCGGCCTCCGATAAAAACCTTGTAGGACTTGTAGTTTCGTTTAGGTTCCCCCTTGTAAGAACTCTGGATCAATAAGGTATAACTCCACTAGACCTCTAGAAAGAGCAGTTTTGAACTGAAAGTACTTTCCAGTGTAAAAATAGTTTTCGTAAGCCACATCAGTTTAACCTAAATAACGTTAGTTTTGTTTAATAGTTTAGGCAACGAAACTCCAAATTGTATCAATATATTATTTTGAAATATCAGGTAAACCTTCAAGTGCTAGACCGTCACGATACAGAAGCCGATGGTTACGTAACCAAGCTTGAATTACGTCATCCACGGATCATTCGCACGAAAGGAGGACGAACAATCAAACATGTCGTGAACCACAACTTCGAAGAAAAACTCGCTCAGCCATTTTTCTTCGTTCAGAATCCCAACGGAGAAGTGACTCATGTGTTTTACCCACATGATGATTCTGCTGACCTTGTTGGAATGAAGAAAGGTAAATTGATTGAATTCATGTTTTTAAAAAAAGCGTCTAAACTAGGCTAGCTTCATTAAAGCTCAATCAGTTCTAAGCAGTTCTCCCTAGAAATCCTCGACAGGGCCATTCTATATTGGTGTACATTACCAGGCCATTACAAATCCGGCATTCTGATTGTATTCTACTCAGATACAAAGACCATTACGTAACGAACCATGGTTGAGAAAAAAGATGGCGGAAAATTTGTTTTCGAAAGTTTTCGGGGGAAATTTTATATGAAATCCTTTCCCTGAAGGACCATCAAGACTACAAAATATAATCTGAAGCAACCTTTAAACCGTATTTTAATAATACGAAGTCAGAGCATTTTTTTGTGCATATTACAAACAAAAACATTGAAATTTCAGTTGCTTGTAAGTAAGTAAGTAAGTAAGTAATTAATTAATTATATTTTTCCTCGTCTTTTAAGAGTTTTTTGTCTACAATGCGATTTTATGTTAATAGAAGTAATATTATATTTTTAAGGTTTTTTCCCCTTTGGCTTTCAATGGTCCTTTTGTGTGCATTTTTATACGGGTTTTTTTATGTGAACTACTGCAACGTTTCGGGAAATCATATTGTTTGCAGTTTGAGGACATCTTTCAAAAGTTCTGGACTTTTAAGTCTTTTGTCGTTCTCTTATAATGATCAAAATTTCGCCTGTATTTTTCCTTAATACCATGACTGTTACACCGCCTGTTTTAAAACATTTTCAAGGGAGCCGTGTATTTTGCTGGGTTGTTATATAAAAAAACTTTTTGCTGGGTTGTTGCAAAGTACTTGTAAAATGTATGAATAATTAATGAGGCCAAGTTAAAATCGCAGCATTTGGGTCATATGTATACATCTGTTAAGGCCGTTTTCCATTAACGCTCGCTATGCCCGCGCGGGCGAAGCGTTCATTGTTTTTGAGCCCTGTCACGCCCACGTGAGCAGATTTTCAAAGTCCGCTCCGCCTGCGCGGGCAAAGAGACTGCAATGGAAACCGGCCTTAATCCCCCATAAAGTTCAACCTTCTCATAAGTTTGGGGAGAGATATCGAATTCAAAACAGGGAAAGCTGGGTTTGATGAATTCTAAATTCTTAAATTCACCTTGATACAGATGTCCTAGTGAGCTAATTAATTAATTAACTTTGATATAGATGTCCTAGTGAACTCATTAACTTTGATACAAATGTCCTAGTGAGCTAATCAATTCATTAACTTTCATACAGTTATTGTAGTAAAACACAACATTGAGAAAACAACAACACACTTAATAAAGACACTAAACTAAAGTAACTTTATTTATACTGGATAGCTCTATCAGTTCTAAACTGTTCTCTCCCATCAGTCACATGCAAAAAAGTACTGGATCACATTTTGTATTTGTAACAATTTACATACATCGATTTCCCACCCTTAAATTAAATCTTGATCCTAATCCTTGCAATCGCAGTATTAATCCTTATCCTAATTTCAAACACAATAAGAATTCTATTCCTGATCCTTTACTAAAACTTTTTCATTCTTCCTAGGTGTCGTAAGTGCCTTTCACCTGAAGCTCCACTCAGATTTCAAGATGACGTCATTCAATACCGAAGAAGAAGACGACTCCGGTGTCCACGTGACCTACTATGACGTCATCCACAGAAACACCACTCACGTCGATTTCACAAAACAATGGAACGGTAACGATTACTCGAAACATGCAGATGGGCGACCTGTGGAGGGGAAACAACATGTTAAAAGTCGCTACAACTCGGCTGTAAAGATTGAAGACAACGCCATTAAATCTGTAAAGAGAACACACTTCTCTGAGATGCATGACGAAAATTCGTACAAAAGGCCCTTAAATAACCCTGATTTTCAAAATCAACCCGATTTTGATGTGAAAGCATCTGGAGAGAGCCACCTTAACTTGCTTAGCTGTTCAAGGAAACCTCGGCGGAGTAAAAGGTCCTCAAAAAATGAGAAAGCTGCCTCCTCATTGGCTAATCTCAAACAGGATACTTTAACTCACAGCAATGTGCATCGCTTCATCGGTGATCAAAAGAAACCAACCCGAACATTTTACGAACTGCTCAGATGTTATTCGGATCCTTCCGTGAAGAAGAACGAACTATCGCAGTGTATTAAAGAACTTCATTATCTAGCCCGAGCCGACAACGAAATTCACCGAAACATAGCCGAGCTCACATTATCGCGTAGCCATCAGAATTTTTCTACATGGTCGGGGTTAGTTGGAGCTCTAGTTGTTAAAGGGGACTATGAGACGCAGAAGGTATTAACAAGGGCACTTTTGTCCGAGGATCCGCGACCTCTCACTGATAAAGAACATTCGATACTGCTTGAGGCAGTGTTCTTTATTCCGGCCGGACCTCTGTACCCGGAACTATTACAAGCGCTGATATCTCTTCATAAAAACAACAGTAAAAGTGAGGAGGTCACCGTCCGGGCAATGCTGGTCATGTCGGGGTTGGTTCGCCGTGTTCATGAAGCTGGCTATAACAGGTCGCTGTCTGATAGTATTGCACAACATCTTCACCAATCCTTTAAAACCCATCCAGCCCGTTTCCATGGCGACGAAAGCGAATCACGCGAGACATACCTTCGCAACCATATATGGGCTTTTGGTAACTTAGGTCATGCCTCATCACTAAACACAATCATCCGTCATTTGGACCACGACTGTTCCGGAATCCGTTATTCCGCTGTATCCGCGTTACGCAAACTTCCATTCCATGACACCGACCATCACTTACTGCGGGCTCTGAAGCATGACGAACACGTGACTGTAAAAGCTGGCGTGATCGAAGTGTTCCTAGAACGCAGACAAAATATTTCGGACGAAATGCGTGAAGCAATCGAAGACGCACTTTGGTCAGCCGAGGATGGAGACGAACTCGACTCAAAGATTACAGAATTTCTCGACAAACATGGCGACGACTCACATCATACTATCAAACAATTACGAAAGCGGAGAGCAGCTATACAAAGGAAGAAAAGGGCGCTTATTCCAGCTTTGAAACCAAGAGAGATCTCCTTGGGACCAAGGCGGGAATGGAGGAAAGTATTTGGTGGTCAAAGGGCTGGAGCTGAAGCTGTAATGAGGTATACATGTTAGGGATGAAGCCGGGGCATGCCAGGAAGTATCGTTGCGAACATTTGTGAACTTCAGCGTCGGCTGATTTATTCAGAGAAATTACTTAGTTTTACCTTCAAAAAACATTGTTGCCGAAGCAACTCAAAATGTTAATGTTTGATTAAATGCTTCCTTGTTTGTCCACCCTCGAAAAGCTTGTTACTGAAACAAAATTTCCTTTCCAAAAAGAGAACAAAATTTTGAGAATTTTCAGCAATATTCGCAGAATTTTTAGAAAGGATTTTTTTTACGTTTTCAACCTTCAACTAGTATGGACATGCCACAGCCACTATTTGTTACAATTGTCCCATTTTCAAACGAAATTCTGAAAACTTTCAGAAACATTCTCGGAATCTTCTCAAAAACGTTTTTCTTAGTTTTCAACCTTCAACTTCTATGCGTAGACATGCCAAACCGTGCATTTGTCGTAATTGTCCCATTTACTTAGGAATAATTGACTTACGCTACAAGCAAATGTTTTTGGCAAATGTTTCTTGTTTTACACAACTTCGGGAAACATGGTTAGGGTAAGGGCTCTTTTAGATTCTTTTTTAGGTTTCCAACATTAATTTATTTCAGGTTCGTGAATCAAGTGAAACTACGGATCAGCATCTTCGGGGGAAAGTTTGAAGTAGACATGGATAATTTTGCTCTTCTTCGTGCTCACGTGATCATGTGGAGTTTTGATATCATTAAAGGTAAAGCCGCGTTCAAGATGTCGGCACGATTTAAGAACGACATTCCAAAAGACTTAATCCACACAATCTCCGACAATGTGGACGACATTCTTGCCAGTGTTGATTCAATCACCAGTATCTTCGCGAAACATATTCAAAACTTTATAAACAAATTAAGAAACTATCTACCATTGGATGCAAATGCGTTTCTAGAATTCATCTCAAAAGCAGCCGAGTTTTTGAGGCGTTCTATTCAGGCCATGCGCTTTGGAAAGTTTTTTAGACAAATTGATAAAGGTCTCAAAAACGCGTTGCGTGTAAATGAACTTTGGAGGAAAATTGCTAGTCTAGTTAACAAGCTTTTACGGAATCTCAAAAACTTAAGTCTATCCAACGGTCCATTTGGAGAAGCATTCCAATTTCTTACAAAATTTGTCGATCTCATTTCGAGAATTGGCTCTGAGCTCCCACGCGGTTTTCCGGTAAATTTCAACACCAAGGAATTTCTAGAACATATCTCTGGGCGAGTTGATTCGATCGACGACGCAGTCTCGGATTATTTCACGAAGTTGGGTATCAGCGTTCCAGAAAATTTCTTCAGAATGTTACATTTTAAGATCACGTTGCGTTTCCCAACTTCCTTGGAAAAGTTCAAGACCGTCACGATAAGGTTAATAAATTTCGGAAACAATTTTCTGGAAATGCTTTCTGTTTCCAGGGAAATGACAAGCATTGAGTTACCGAGAATTCACCTGCCAAGATTCGGCCTAACCACCGGCGGTAACCGATTGTTTGATTTTGGGTTATCTTTCGATTGGAGGATAAGATTCAATTTTAAGATCGACTTTTCCGGACCAGATTTCGCAAAACTGCAGAACTTTTCCCGCTATTTAGCAGAAATTTTCAAACAGCTAGATGGCCCGAATATAGACTTGGAACAATTGTTCCGGGAATTTTTACCCAGTTTGAGAAACGAGATGGGTTCTATTGACTCAGAACTGTTCCGGAATACGTCAGGTTTGACGATTGGGCAATGGTTCCGGGAAATTATGAAACAGTTTGAGAATATTCTTGGGCAGCAAGATGGGAAAATTCTGGACTTTAGCGACACTGCAAAATTCTTAGAAGAATTACAAAAAGAGGCTAGGAAGTTTTCTAAGAAAGCCCTCAAAACTGTTTGCAAGTTTCAAGGATTCATGTTGAAGTCTTCCGGAAAATTACAAGAATTTGGCGAAAATTTGGAAAAGAAAACGATCGTTGCGATCAGAAAAATCGAAGACGAAGCACACGTAGTTATCGTAGAGGTTGTTAATGCCACATTATTTGTGGATAGACTTATAAACGATCTGCAAAAAGATATTTTGAATACGACGAAGAAATTCGTAGATCAGTTTTTAACAAAGTTGGAAACATCGCTTGAAAATGTTAAAGAACTGGCTGATAATGTTGCGGAGTTTACTGGCAACTCGACCGACAAGCTACCTGGTTTCTGTCACAAAACGGCCGACGTATCCGCCGATATTTTGGACAAAATTCAGCGTGAGGCCGACAATGCTGGTAAGGAACTAGCTGAGTTTATTTCCACGAATTCTCGAGATATTACCAGCCTTGTAAACCGGTTTAAGACTGTCGTTACAAATGTAGAAAGTTGGCAAAAGAAAAATTTACAAAAACGGTTAGGAAAGTTTGCCCGTGTCGCTGAAACGCTTGATGAATTCTCATCCTTGCTCAAAAATGAAAACAAATTCTTGAAAAGTGTTAACAAAGTTTCCAGGAATATTAACGATGTTGTAAAGAACTTGAATCGGCTACCCGAACATGCCGAAAAAGCCAGACAGGCTGCCGAGAAGGTCGCCGACTTTGCTACGAACGCGAAGCAATGGGAGACCGAAGTTAAGAAACTTAACATACATAAGAAATTCGGATTAGACTTCGACGGCAAATTGCGAAAACTCTGCAACGAATTACAAGCTCTAGCTCAGGATTCCGTAAACAAAATCCAAAGAGATAATTTGTTTAGGACGTTCCGTGAATTCGTGACGCAAGAGACAGACGCCTTAGTTTCTCGCGGAGTTGGAAAATTAGACTTACTGAAAGAACCGTTAAAGCGAGTAAGAAGTGAACTTGAAAAGGTTTCGGAGTCTGTCAGCGAAGTCGAAGCGGTTCTTATTGAAATGAAACCATTTTATGAAAACTTTTCACCGATTTTAGAAGCAGTCAGCCAATTACCAAACTGTACGGAAATTGAGTTTATATTTGATAATATTCTCACCAAATGTGGAAAAGGTACGAAGGCATTTGGTAAACAAGCTTACGGGGAATACAAGAATTTGAGGTCCGAAGTCAAAGCATTCTTAGAACTTTTACCAGACGAATGGGAGAGTTTAAGTTTACGGAAATGTGTCACAGGCGGCACGTGTCTTTCCGAGGCGTTCACGAAACAGGCTCAAGATGTTTCAAAGAAGATTAAGACATTGAAAAAAAAAATTAATAATAAAGAATTGCTTGAAAACTTGGAACCTTGTAAAACTGCAGTGGAAGACGTTTCTCGTGTCGTGAAGAAAGTGAAGAATATTTCAGTATTGGTGGAGGAGTTTTCATTGAAAGATGAAGTGTTGAAGATTAAAGATTTGGCTCGCAGGATTACTGGGAAGTTTTCAAAGGAAAGTGATAGTCAGGTTTGTATGTTTTTACATCTTTGGTTATTACGCCTCTCTGTGTCTTCCATTGTCTGTGTCTTTTTTAGTTATTGTGCCTGTGTCTTCTCTGTCTCTTCCATCTATCTTGTTTGCTTGATATGACTTCACCTCTGGACACTACCTTGTCTTCTCTTGCTCTTACTTCAACGTAGTCTTGTCCTATTCCTTGCCATTGTTGCCTCAGCTTAACTTAATATGTTTCCAAATACTTTAGCTTATAATTATCATACCTTTTTCTTACCTTTGTCTTACTTTACCTCATCTTATACCATACCATAACGGGTGGAACGGGGGGAGGCTAGGACCCCCAAAAAAGTGAGTGGCTAAGCCTGGTCCCCAAACAAACGGATATAACTCCACATTTCGACGTTTATAGATATAAAACACCCTCCCCCTGTCGCCCACATTTCCGGGGAAAATGTTTATAGGTTGGACAATTTATAGAAATTAGCTACCCAAAAATAAATAAAATGTTCTGCCGCCACTGTACCATTCCATACCACTCCACACGACAACAGAACACCACATGACACAACACAACACTCCATACTATATCATGCTAAACAGTATAATAACGCAACCAGCCGGCCGACAATTTGGTCATGCTTTGCAAATATTTCCGTGTTCAAAGACCGTGAAAACAATCAATTCTAAAGAAATGAATAATGATGATTTGATATTTGCATAGCATGACCAAATTGTCGGGCTGGCTACGCCACTGATAACTGAAATATCATTCTGTACCGCACACGTTTCGTATCTAGTCCCATTACTTTGCATACTTCTCATTGTCATCTACTCTTATCTTCCCAGGTCCAAAAACGCCCAGTCAGTGACCTCGCCAATAAAGTAAAGAACCTTGCTCAACACATCAAAAAAACGAAAGAAACCAAAGCAAATATCGAACAACTCGTTGAAGAAGTGTTTGGCAAACTAAAAAGCATCTATTCGGACGACATCGAGCCTTTCCAAGACAACCTAAAAGACGTCCAACAAAAACTACAGTTATCTTATGACCTGAGTAGAAAATCTAACGTCATAAATCCAAGTTTGCAAGCGGTAGACACAGCGGTGCGAGCAATGACCGACTTTACTGAAGTTGCTCAAAATGTCGTCGGCCCGTTAGAGGGAACTGTTTTAGACGTACTTTCAAAAACCTCCGACTTCACCGATGTTTTTGACGATAAACTTAAAGGCAATGGGGAAAAAATACAAAAGGTTTCGGACGAAGTAAACGGCTTTCTGGATAAAATTGTCTCGTTCTTGAATACAATTCAATTACGTCAGAAGGGTTTGGATATCCGAGATTATAAACCCTGGAACCAATATCCGTACTGTTCTGAAGACGTGTGCCTCAGGTTACTCCGCAGATCATCCAAACCGTATCTCAATACCGTTTTCCCTTGGAAATTTGCGCATTTGGACGACTTATCTTCCTATCCAAAGACGGGCAAGTGGCTAGTACCGGGTCTCTTTGATGACTACAAAGTGCGCGGTATTGCGGCATTGTCTAAGAACGAGATGGTACTGGGCATGCGCGGTGTATCCTCAAATACTGACAAAGCTTCGTTATTGGTTGTGATCGATATAAGGTCATCAAAAAGTCCAAATTCTTAAGATTATTCAACTTCAACAAAACAGACAGCCTTTCACAGGCGATATGGGAGGCGTGGCAGTCGTGAAAGATACCTACATTTGGATGAGCAGTGGTAATAGTCTCTATGCTGTGAAGTTATCTGACGTTCGTAATAGCATGTCAACCAATGTCCCTTCGACCATCAACATTGCTAGAACAAAGTCACTTTCCCATCAAGCGACTTCGCTTTCTTATGACAGTCGAGATAGCAGAATTTGGGTAGTTGACAGTAGTAGTCATAAAGTTCATTCCTATGACTTGAATCCATTTGGTGGTGTGTTGGTACAAAAGGAAACCCACGAGACTGGCCAATACACGCGTGGCTTCGCGATTGTTCGACAGTTCGGCGTAAAATACGCTGCCGTGGCTAAATGTGCGCTGGTTGCCGGATACCAATGCAAGCTTGAATTCCATAACGTCAACAGTGCTGTTCTAGATGAATCGACTGTTCTCAGAGTTGTGCGAACACCCACTGGCCTAGAAGGTATCCAGACTGTGGACTCAGAACACCTCGTGACCGCCTTCTCAAGCGGGTCATTTTGGGAGAAGGACAAGATCGAACGAATAGCTGGCGATTTCGAAGACAGGTTTTTCAAGTTTAAGGTACCGATTCTTACAACCGGTTTCGATATCACGGAGAATTGCGTGTATCTGAAAGTCGCTTTCGATTGGATTATCCCAGCGAAGCGTCTGTTTCCTCTCGGCGAGATGAAGTGTGGGGAACGTAGAAAACGGAGCGCTCTAGAGAAAGCGTTGGATGCTGATGTATACACCGAGGAACTTGAGAGGCATAAGAGGATACGACGTCAAACAACCGAAAATGTAGCTTGCTCTTGGAATTTGGAAGGGGAACCCAAAAAAGGTTTGTTTTGCATTTAACGGGTACTGCCAAGCTAAACTAAACCTAAAGTTAGTAAAGTAAAACTAAGTAAAACTAAACATCAACTGGTGAACTAACATGCGTGTAAGGCTCTATGCCATCTATGTTGAAATACTCATCAAAGCTATTATTTTGTTAATCTAGAGTTTGAAATATCCCCAGCAACGCTCTCTTCAACTCTCATCGTCGTTCGACCAGGACTTAACATCATTTGTACTGAGTATCTCTGTCAGTTCTAAACTGTTCTCCCAAATGCGGTTCGTTATTCAGTTTTGTTACTAGAGAAAGAAACTTAAACTCAGCTACCCTTATTTTACCTTATTTACACGGAATAAAATTGCGGTTGCCATAAAGTATTTTAATAAAACACAAAACAATAGACACTCCGAAAAAAAAAAAAATTTTCGGAATGTCTATTGTTTTTGTTTTATTATACTGAATACCTTTATCAGTTTTAATCTGTTCTGTTTAGAGGTTTCTAAAGGCCCATCTTTTACTTGTCCGGGAGAGACCAGAGTACTCAAAGATAATCTATTCTGTCTGGCGGAATGAAACTACGGTGCCTTTCTCACGTGCGAATTATAATCAGACAACTGTATATTGCAAGAGTTGGGGCCAGATATAATAGATAAAAGGACACATGTAATAGATAAAAGGGCACATGTACTCATCAAACCACACATCAAAGAGAATGTTTTATAAAATATAAACGTTGAATAACAACAGCAATAACAACAGCAAAAAGTACACCAGCACAAGCGACAGTAGCAAACGCAACAACTTTAAAAATAGTAACACTACGAGCAAAACCAACAGCAACAACAACAGGACAACGACAGCAACAACAGCAGCGACAACGGCAGCAGCAACAACAACAACAACAACAACAACAACAACAACAACAACAACAACAACAACAACAACAACAACAACAACAACAACAACAACAACAACAACAACAACAACAACGACGACGACAACAACAACAACAACAACAACAACAACAACAACAACAACAACAACAACAACGAAGAAGAAAGTAGAAACAACACTAATATCTTTAATATATCTCTTTTTCTCAGCTTCATATCCAATTATTCCCGAAGTCGGCTTTATTGTCATGGTGTTCGGTATTCCAGTATACTTTCACTTCAGTGCTAATACAAATTACTATGCGAACTACAGAGTCTCATTGTGTCTTCGCACGAGAGAGGTACGACTTGCGATCATCCCTGGGGCATGGGTGACTGTAAATGCGGGGGCAAGTCTTGATCTGTTACTGGTGGACAGTGGTGTGACAGTACAGGCAAAACTACTGGAAACCTACCTTATCCCTGAGGTTGCTGTTCGTGTCGACAAATGGCCGTTGCGTGCATGTTTGGAAATGAAGCTGCAAATGACTCCTTTGGCTATTCGTGTCTACTTGTGGTATCGGTTCAGACTTTCTATAAAAATCAGAGTGGAGAAATGGTTTAAAATTCACATCTCAATCAGTTGGGGTTCAAAGAACACGTTCGCTGAATGGAGTTGGTCGTCACCGTCTATCCATGCAACCGTACTCAGTACTTGCGAACGAGATACAGACAACACCCCCCCTGGAGTAGGACAATGTACCGCAAAGCAGGTCGGGAATAAGAAGTATTTCGTCCAGTGGCGTGGCTTCACGGAGGACACAAAGATTCAAAATTATGTCGTCATAATCGGCTCGATCAGAGGGTCTGGTGATGACCATTATTCCATCCACAGAGAAAGACAGAGCTTGCTAGTTTCAGACCTCGACATCATGCATGGTCGTTCTGTTTACGCGGCCGTATATGCATATAATGGTTTTGGATTAAAAAGCTCGGTTGCTGATTGCCCGATGTTTACTGCAAGGCGACGGTCTCCCGTTCTTACGTTCGTTCACGATGGCGAAACGTCGGGTGACATCGACTACCAATCGGATACGAGCAGTCTTGCTGTGGAGTATGGTTTTGAGGGGACTTTTGGGGATCTTTCGAGCGTTAAATGGGGGATATCAAGTTCGCCAAAATGTACCTTGTCCGAAAGCGAGGCTGATGTTCTAAGTTTGCGAGCAGTCGGGGAGAGCTACACTATTAAGAAGACTGGGTTAGAATTAGAGAATGGTAGGAAATATTATGTCCGGGTCCAACTTGTCAACCTCGTGGGATTGGCTACCGTTGCTTGCAGTGATGGCGTTACCATAGATACCACGCCACCTGTGCCACGTGACTTCACGGTCGGGAAAGATGGTACGGGATTCGTACCCTCGGTGAGACGAATCTCCGCGAAGTTTCAACAATTTCTAGACATTGAAAGTCCCATGGTGCGCTATGAGTGGAAACTTATCGATGAAAATACCGGTAGTGACGTCATACCTTTTAAGACAATACCGCTGACCCAAAAGTCACCACTGCTCGACGGATTAAGTTTGACCTCTGAAAAAAAGTACACCGCTGTGCTGAAAGGTACTAATGCCGCAGGTCTGTACGCTACGGTAAATGTGTCGGGTATTATTCCTGATGATACAATCCCATCATGCAATGGACCACCACGTGACGTCATAAACTTCGATGATGTAATAGATAAAGATTTTGTGCGGCAATTTAATAACCTCACCTATATGTTCTCGTGTCATGATGATGAAAGTGGTATCCAGTCCATTCGCGCAGCAGTGGGCACTTACCCGGGCGGGGAAAACATCCACCCGTTTGTCAACATTGGTGAACTGCTAACTAGAATATCTGATGACTCCAAAACCACGTGGGTAGCATTTGATGACGTAAATGTGACGTCATTGATTCAGTATTACGTCACAATCAAAGTTCGAAATAATGCAGGTTTTGTTAAGACGATTTCCTCAGATGGGATACTTTCTGATACAACGGGACCCACAGTGTTACCAAGCTACATCAGAGATGGACCGCATGGAATAGACAATAAATTTAGTTCAGGTTATGATATTTATCCAGCTCACTGGGAGAACGCATTTGCAGACGCTGAAAGTGGAATTGGAGAATACTTTGTAGGTCTGGGTACGAGTCCTGGATCAGATGACACATCAGGTTTCAAAAGCAACGGTTTGAGCACGCGAGCGTTGGTCAGCAGTTTTGCATTGAGAAGTGGTGTAACATACTATGTAACAGTGATAGCCTGTAACCGAGTGCGCATGTGTGTGAATGGTAGCAGCAACGGCGCTATGGTGGATTTCATGCCACCACATCCGGGCTCCGTTATTGCCGGTCATGTGGGACCACCACTAGAAGTCACGTGGATCAACAAAGCTGCATGGGCCCGCTGGCGGTGGTGCCCAGCAGACAGAGCCAAACAACAATTTACCGCCGACACATGTGACCTATTGAGTTTCTACGACAAACATTCAGGAATAAAACATTTTGGGTTATCTGTGCTCTCGTACGATACAGCCGAGCAGTTGATCCCAGTCAAGACCGTGGGCCGCGTTGTAGTCAGCGGTCTACATGTAGTTATGCCTAATGGTGTTTTCTCTGTAGTTGTCGAAGCTGAAGATCGCGCCGGAGTCCGTTCGAATGCAATATCAGAATCGTTCATAATTGATGCCAACCCACCTCGGGTAGTCAAGCTTCACCATGGTAACGAAGGCCAGCCAATCAGATACAGGAGTAACCAAGATCACATGTTCTCTGCATACTTCGAGATGACCGAAGATGTGTCGGACATTGTTCAGTACAGCCTCGGCGTGTCGTCGTATCCCGAAGGCGATGATGTCATACCGTTCGCAAGCCACCAGCCTAATATTGTATCTAATGTTATTCGTGTAAATTGGACATCGACCACAGCAACTTCTTTAGTAAATGGATGGAAATACTACATAACAGTGAAAGGCACTAACTCTGCTGGTCTTTTTATAGTAGCCACGTCACTGCCGTTGGTGTTTGACGACGAAGCACCATTAGTCACGCACGTATTGGACGGTTGGGGCACGCAAGATGCTCAATACCACTCATTTCGTAGTATCTACCGAATGCATTGGCGAGGCGTTACGGACGTTTCCGGGATTGACGAAATTAAAGTATGTCTTAGCTCTTCTCAAAATCCGAATATTTGTGACATCCGTCCTTTGGTGAAAATATCGAATACCTTAACTTCATATTCGTTTACCAATATTAACCTACAATCAGGAACTTACTGCTACGCTTTACTGCAGCTCAGTGATAAAGCTGGTAACCTTGGAAACCATTGGACCAATGGCGTGTTAGTTGATACCAGTCCGCCGACGAGAGGGAGAGTTACGGATGGTCTGGGGAAGAGGGATACGGTTTTCCAACGAGAAAATAACATACTGTACGCAAGTTGGAATGAATTTTTTGAAAATGAAACATCGATTCATCACTATGAACTTGCATTCGGGACATCGCAAAATAGTTCAGATGTTCAACCTTTTACTGATGTTGGTCTAGTCACTTCATCTGCAAGTTCGAACTTGCTCGTTTCAGAGCTTAAAAACGGCGTGACCTATTTCGCTCGAGTTATTGCGTTTAATATATTGGGAGTTCCAGGCAAGATTGCCGCGTCCGATGGTGTTTTAATTGATTCAACGCCACCAACATATTCGGCTCCAGTTTCCGACGGAGTTTACCTTCATCTTGACCTTGATTATACCAGTCATGTGACTTCGCTATCTGTAAGCTGGAAATGCGAAGATGCTGATAGTGGGCTAGCTCAGGCATTTGTCGGGTTCGGGACTCAGCCTGGCATTCTGGATGTTGCGGGTTATCAGGTTGTGTTGCCTTACCAAACTATGTATACATTAGCAAATCTCACTCTGTCCCAGGGCTACAGATATTTTGCCACGGTCAAATGCGTCAACCGAGTCGGTTTGCAAAACTCGTTGTCCAGCGATGGCGTCACTATTGATGCTACGCCACCGCTGCTAGGTTACATCAACGATGGTGAGAGTGCTTATCAAGATGCTGACTATATTGGTCTTGGCTCTCACGTGACAGTTAACTGGAAATTCACTGACGCGGAAAGTCATGTGACCGGGTACCAAATTTCCATTTACCATAGGCCGAATGGCGTCCGGGTCATTGGACCATCGGAAGCACCCGGGAATAGGAGATCCACGAAAATTGCATTACGAGGAGACGAACTGAAAAACGGTCACAAGTATGAATTTTCGGTGACGGCTCGAAATCGAGCTGGACTTAATATAACTGGAGTGAGCAATGGTTTTGTAGTGGACGGCTCAGCCCCAACGTGTTCAAATGTATATGATGCTACTTTAGGTGGGAGTAAGACTAATTTTGTCGGTCAAATAAGAAAGCTAGTGGTTCATTTCGACTGCATTGACAATGAGACAGGGATTGATGCATATCAGTTTGCTATAAAAGACATTGATACATCTCGTTTAATTCTTCCATTCCACAAAATGAAAGGGTTTTCAATTCTTTCCTCTCTTGTGATTGTTAACGGGGCTGGAAAACGAATTGTAGAACTTCAAAATGGCGGTCGTTATCAAGTTGGGCTCCGAGCTACGAACAATGTGAACCTTACGAAAGAATACTGGACTCCAGGAGTTACAGTCGATACCACTCCTCCCGTATTTAGCAAAGTTGTAGCCTCGTTTCAAGTCCAAAGTGAAACGATCAAAATTGTCTGGAAACTTGTTGATAATGAAAGCGGGATAGAAACTGTATCATGGTCGCTCAATACTTCACCAGATGTCGAAAATCCGGAAAACTTTACAGAAATTTTACGAAATTCTACAGAGCTCTTCATTTCTGGGATTTCATTCAAACTTGGCCAGACTTACTATGTCTATTTCAAGGCAATTAACAAAGCTGAACGGTCGGCGTTCTTTGTGTCGGACGGTGTCGTGATTGATCGTACTTCACCATCGCCTGGTCGGGTGTCGGCCGGTTTCGTAGTGCCGGCAAATTACGATGGTAATCCAAATGTAACCACGGGTGCTTCGTTTACTGTGAAATGGAGCGGGTTTGTAGACCAGGAAAGTGAAGTAAGGGTGTATAAATGGGCAACTGGACGGTCTGTTGAGCAGATGAAACTCCTGGCCAATGCGTTTTACAGAGCAATCCAATTTACAGGTTAATGTTATTATTGATTATTTTATATTTTTTATCATCATTGTTAGCTCGGTCTATTCCCCGCACGGACAATCTGCTTGAGAAATCGTCTGTCTTTGTGTAGAGGTCGATGGGGTTTTCCTAATCTTCAATGGGAAAATTGGATTAGGAGCACTGAGAATTAAATTCGCACCAGCAATTCTGCTGGTGGGAAAATAGGATTTATGCTGGTGGGAAAATAGGATTTAAGTCCCCTCCCCCATTCACAACCATTTATCCAAACAAACAAACTAGCTGGAATAGTGCAAACAATTTTGCCAATAGTTCCGGGATCAAATTTTCCTGGTAGTTTGTTTAATGTTGTATTTATAAATTAACAACGTAAACAAATCATCAGGTTCAGTTAATTGTTCCGACCAGTACTTCAAAGTTCAAACACAAACCTCGTTAGTTTATTGTAGAATACTTGTATCCATTGTTTTCCACCGTTGAAATCGTAATGTTTAAAGTATGACTTTACTACAGGTACTCTTAATGGATATGTTATAAGAGGTCAAACCATCCACACCAACACGACGTACTTTGTGTGTATACGAGTCATAAACGGCGCAGGACTATCCACGACAAGCTGCTCAAATGAAATACTTGTTAAGTTAGGAAAGATGACTGCTGGCGTGGTGTATGACGGACCGTTGGCGCAAGATATTGACTTCCAACTTGATGACAAAGCAGTATGGCTTCATTGGACTGGCTTTAAAGACCCTATAAACGGCATAGAGCTTTACGCTTGGTGTTACGGACTGGTGACGAGTGAAACAGCGGACCAGCTAAATTGCACGACATCGCTAGCTCATGTAGATCCACCTCTCAAAACGTCCGCACATCAATTCCATAATGTCTCATTACTTCATGGACAGCGGTACAGCATCAAAGTGCAGGCGTCGAATCCAAAGAACCAATCAGTATCGGCCGTATCTGATGGCTTCACCGTCGATCGTACGGCACCTTCTGCCGGGGTTATTAAAGTCGGTGGGTCGCATGGTACCCGGGTTATTTATCTATCTGATGTCACGCCCCCAATGGTATCATGGGCTACGCATGAAAGTGAGAGTGCTATAAAAGAGTGTAGCTTCGGTATCGGCAGTTCCCCAAAGGCTGACGACTTACACTCGTTCACAAAAGTCGATGGAAACCAAAATTCTGTAGATCTTGCTGACATCAACTTTAATTTCACTCATGGAATGGCATTTTACGTAACGGTTGTAGGGGTGAATGTTTTGGGACTGGAGACGAGTATGACGTCACCACAGGTGATCGTTGATTGGTCGCCGCCGACACCAAGCGTAGTTCGAGATGGGAATGGCACGAGTGATGTAGATTCTCAAGCTCATGTTGATCACGTGTCAGTCACGTGGAGTGAGTTTCTTGATCCAGAGAGCGGTGTAGTGGAGTACTTGAACTGTATTGGCACTAGACCAGGTATAGTACATTTCATTATTTAAGGGGGCGGTAATTTTGCATTGTCGATTGGTGGCGTTGACCTACCCATGAACAAGAGCGTCCAGCTCAGTCTTTCGAAGAAATTCACGTCTGTTATAGTTCGATTCATTTGTCCCTCAAGATCCGCCTATTAATAATAGTATAATTAACTTGTGATTATAAACTGATTAATAATTAGAAACACACATGTACCACTGGCTTGGGGCACTAAAACTCCAAGATTCAAACAGACAATAATTAGGAAATACTTTTACAGATTCCTGCGATGTTAGCAACCAGACCTCAGTCAACCTGGACCTTCACGCAACCAGACAAGTCAAGCTAGAACAAGGCCAGATTTACTTTGTCACAGTGACCGCCATTAATGGAGCTGGCTTGTCAACAACATCCTCATCTAACGGTCTGATCATCGACACCACCCCTCCCATTATCGATGGCTTCTCACCGACCTCAGTTGTTGCCGTTGAAATGAATATCACAAATGTCGACATCAACGCTACCACATCTGACCCTGACGTCATTAACTCTGACATTACCAGTAATCACGTCATCATTTCTGACGTCATCGGTATTTTAACCAATCCATACAAGATTTCCGCAACGTGGAATACGGTGTCTGATTTAGAAAGCGAGATTAAGAGTGTTACTGCTTGTGTTTCCACGAATAAAGACGAATGCAATTTGACTCCCTGGACAGTAATCAATCCTTCTTCTTCAAGTTTAAGTTTAGATTTCCCAAACCCACTTCAAACTGGAATGGTGTTTATGCTTAAACTGAGAGTTGAAAACGGGCCAGGGTTGGTTGCTATTGATTATTCTGGTAGCATTATGGTAGATAACACGCCGCCTTTGAAAGGGGCCGTTAAAGTCGGTAACAAGAAAACATTAGTTTTCATACAAGAAGAGCAGGCACTCAGTGTTTCATGGTCGGACTTTGTAGACTCCGAAAGCAACATGAAGATGTACAAGTGGAAAATTTGTTCAGCAAATCAATCTTCAGAATGTGTGTCAGAGTTCGTGGATGCAGGTCTAAAGACAAGTCTTGTTCTCAGCGATATCGGAATTGAGCAAGGTATGGAGTACAATGTAGTCATCAAAGCAATGAACTTTGCAGAACTGGAGACTACTGCCGTTTCAAACCCGTTTATTCTTGATAAAACACCCCCTCAATCTGGAATGGTATTTGATGGAGATGAGTATTTGAAGGATCAAGCTTACCAAAGTTCGTCCTCTGAAATTTCTGTTAGTTGGAAAGGTTTTCAAGACAATGAAAGCGGGATAACACGTTACGAAGTTTGTGTTGGCTCAAACGCTGGTCTCTGTGATGTTAATACGTTCATGAACTATGGCCTGGCTACTAATGCAATCATCAATAATCTTAATCTTACTCATAATGAGACATACTTTTCAACTGTTCGTGCTGTCAATGGAGCCGGTCAAACTAGTTTTGCTACTTCAAATGGGATATTTATAGACATGACGTCACCAGAGGGTGGTAGTGTTAGCGATGGGGATGATACTGACATTGATGTGACTGTGTATGATTCTTTTGTTAGCGCCAACTGGGACGAATTCCACGACCCAGAGTCTGGAGTTTTGAAATATGTCATGTGTGCAGGGACCGCTAAAGGGTCATGTGATGTACTACCGCTGACTACAGTGAACAGTAGGCTTGCAGTAAAGTTTCAGGTGAAACCAGCTAAAAGTTCTGGGACAGTTGTGTATTCGACGTTGAGAGTGTATAATAAAGCTGGTGGGGTGACAGAGGTTTATTCTGACGGAGTTTTAGTTGACAGCACACCGCCTGATCTTGACAATGGCAAGGTAAGACAGCATTGACTTTTAAATTCTAAACTAACTTTATATGAAAATATTTGTGCTCTGTCAGAGGCCGCAGCAGCACCTCGAAGTGAGGGGAGGGGAGGGGGGGCACTTACCAGAAACGGCACTTGAGTCAGCAAACATTTTAAATATGTTAGATGTGTCCTTAGAAGGCCTGTATGGAATAAGACCTTTTTGTGCGCCAGACATGTGCGCCAAATACTAGTAAATATATTGCTGTACAGCTGGTTGTGACAGCACTTTTCCATACTGGTAATAGAAAGTCTAAAGCTTTAGACGTATGCAATATACAGCCTTGGATATTATACGTGTTCTGAGGCTCCACTGATGTTCTCGAAGGCCAAATAAAAAAAAAATACTTGGTTACGTCACCGCCCACCTATCAAGTTTTGCCGCCTCTGAATATTTTTGAAACCACTTTAGTGGTTGGTTAGTGGTTAGGGTAGGGGTTAGGATTGCTCAGGTATATACCTAGCATGGGTACTGCTTTAGTGGTTGGTTAGTGGTTAGGGTTAGGGTTGGGGGTTAGGATAGAGGTTAGGGTTAGGATTGCTCAGGTATATACCTAGCATGGGTACTACCCGCATTCTAAAATTTAGAGTATTGGTTAAGTACCCATTTAGAAGTAGCGAAACGGCCTAATAGCTCTGCGTCCTAAACCGAACATGAATACATTAACCACAAATTTAAAGAGATAATAGTAGTTAACTTTAATCACGTAGTTTAGCGTTAACTGCACTTTATAAAAGGTAGTTTAATATTAAGTTAACTATGCCCAAGCTAAGGTATCGTAAGCTAAGGTATCGTCAAAATGCAGTTAAAAATGCCGCTTTAGTTTAGGAGAACAACATTTTCAGTAAGACAATAATGAAAAGCAACGCTTACCTGCATGGATTTTCAATCGCTATCTTCCGTGTGCCGGAATGTTTCCTGACAGTTGCGAACTCTTCAAACGCTTTAGTTTTTGTGTCGCTTTTGTTTCATGGCGAAAACAAAATATATTTTTGCACCGGAAGATTTCTCAAAGACGAAGTAGGACCCATACATAGTTTAATACACGAAGAAACATGATATATAATTGCAAAACAGCTACACTTCGATTTATGAAAGTAGATATCTCACGAAAAAGCTTTTTGCTTGCGGTTTTCCCGTTGACTTTTTACTATTTTGCTTAATTTTCCCGCCTATGTGCAAAATGCGAGTCCACAATCATGTTAAAATAGCTTGTTAGCGGTCGTTAATGACTCCTTACTTTATGTATTTTTTTGTTTTAACGCTAACTACGTTTTGTGCAACGCAATGGACCATTTGCATTATAGACTAAATTTTGATCTAGACAAGTCTAGACAAAAATTTCATAACAGCTTGAAAGAGCATCACAAAATTAGTAAGATTCCAAAGTTTCATTGCGAAATGTTGTAAAATGCGGATAATATAGCCTTGCGAAATTTGCAATTTTGAGTCATTTTGTATTACGCACGGGAAATTGACAGCCCAATCGGGTGTTGGGGCATCAATTTCCCGTTTGTAATACAAAATGACTGAAAATTGCAAATTTCGCAAGGCTATATTATCCGCATTTTACAACATTTCGCAACGAAACTTTGGAATATTACTAATTTTGTGATGCTCTTTCAAGCTGTGATGAAATTTTTGTCTAGACCAAAATTTAGTCTATAATGCAAATGGTCCATTAAGTCGTTAGTTAACTACAGGCACAGATTAAAAGGTCCTCTTAATCTGTGCTACTGGTAAGGATTTAACCACGTACTGGGCCACCAAACCTCTACTGGTATTACTGACTCATTTTTCTACAGATTTTCAGATGTTTCAGTAAGGCCTAGCTAAACTCATCTCAAAGCTATAATTTGTCTTTAGGTTGACATCACAATAATCACATCACCAAGACCAAGTACAGCGTTAGGTGACGCAATATATCTGACAAGCAGGAACATTTGTGCTTCATGGAACACATTCACTGACAGCGAGACTCGAATCATCGACTATCATTTCTCATTGTGTTTGGAACACGATAAACATAACTGTCCTATCTCATCTCGCGACCTCAACAATAGAACATTCATATGTATCGAAGAACCACCTATTACAGAAGGCGAGAGTTATATCATAAGAATTACTGCAACAAACCAAGTTGATCTCAGCTCAACAGCAGATTCGGCAAAGTTTATCTTCGATACGACCGAGCCGGATGTTGGGGAGGTAATTGCATCGAATCCTTTGGGAGATGAATACCATTTCGTCTCGTCAGCGATTCTTGCACGCTGGTACAATTTCATTGACCCCGAAACTGGGGTATCTGGTTATTCATTATGTATCGGGACAGAGCCTGCGTTGTGTGATGTAACGGATTTGGTTTCTGTTGGAAATGCGTCAAGCTACACTTGGTATAATCTGAGTTTGGTCCACGACGAGGAATATTTTGTGTCTATAAAGTGTGGCAACAATGCTGGTTTATCTACGAATTTTACAGCCTCCCAACCAATTTCTGTGGATACGACAGGTATGATATAATTTCGCTATATAGAGTGTACTGATGTTAGGGTTTAGTGGTAAAGACCCCTACGGTGATTAGTGATCACTGATGTGCGTTTCTATCAGGTCTAAACTAAAAATAAAAATATGTTGTCTTATTGTTGATAAACGATGAACATCGAGTTGGAAACCAACATTATTGAAAACAAAATAATGATACGTTTTTCACGGGCATATAACATGCTTGGTTTTTCTTACAGTTCCACCGTTGAGTAAAGTTCTTGATGGTTTTGAAGACGCAAAAGACATTGATTTCCAACGAAGTCATACGCACGTGTCTGCCACATGGTTTAACGTTGAAGATCCTGAGAGTGACGTCATTTCCCTTGCGTGGTGTGTTGGCTCCAGGCCTCAATCATGTGACTTCAAACCCAGTACCTCATTGGATGTTACCGCGAGTAAAATCTCAGCATACCTTAATCAGCCAATCAAAAACGGAGATAGATATTACATCACACTCAAAGCAACCAATGGTGCAGGTATGACCAGTATTATGGTGTCTGATGGTGTTACAGTTGATTACACACCACCAAGTGCTGGGATGGTTATTGATGGTCAAGATGGTGATATTGATTACCTCAAGGATGGTGATACAGTTTATGCTCGATGGTCAGAATTTGAAGATGGTGAAAGTGGTATAAAATCTTACCAGTTTGCATTATGTGAGAAAGAAAATATAACCGCTTGTCCAACGGCGTTTTCAGACACTGGGTTGCAGACGAATATAAGCTTGTCAGGTTGGTTTAATTTGCTTGTTCTTGGTTCAAATATTTATGGAAAAAAGGTAGCCAAGCCATTTAGATCATATATTTGAGTGAATTGGGTTGGATACTTCACATGCCTAGTTACCACCGCTCTGATAATGTAAGCATAAAATGGAACAAAGCGCTAGCTGGTGGCCAACATGCAGATGGTATCAGATTGATAAGGTAAATCCTAATTATTTTCATTAACCTTTTCTTTAGGCACGGAGTTACAAAGTGGTGTAGAGTATGTGATAATAGTTCGTGCTACCAATCTGGTTGGTTTGAATCAGCAGGCGACTTCAGATGGATTTACAGTGGACGCAACGGCACCAGTCTCAGGGCGTGTCGTAATCGTCAGTCCATCACCAAGCAATTTTGATATCCATCAAATTACAGTTAGGTATGTGAGAAACTAAAGAACTTATCTAAGCTAACTTTGTTTATGTTGTATTATAGTTGTTTATATTTATATTGTATAGCTATATTAGTTAAATTGTTCTCCCTAGAGGACTAGTAAGGGCAATATTTTATTTGTCCAGTAGTATTATTACTGAAGAAAACTGGATAGCCCTGTCTGTTCTAAACTGATCTTCCTAGATGTGCATTTCTTTTTTAATAATAATAATAATAATAATAATTTATTACCTGATAGCGTGCCTGTTACATGGGAAGATGCTCACAGGCGCATTACAAAGGAAAACCAATCACATGGTTTGCATTTTAAAATTATGAGAATATTTACATCAATTTGGAAACACTAATTAAGTATAATAAATATAAAATCACAAATAAGATCTGATCCATTGTTACTATGAAAGAAAACCTTAATTAAACTAACGTTTTTTATACTTGTTTGAGTTGAGTCATGAAAAACTTTTTTTCAGATGGGAGAATTTCATGGACCCAGAATCAGTTATATCCGAATATGAAATATGCCTTGGGACAAGCCAGGGGGAATGTGATGAGATTGACTTCCGCGCCATTGGACTGAACACTACTTACAATTTCACTGAGCTCAAATTACGTCATCAGGAAACATATTACGTGACAGTAAAAGCGACTAGCAACGCGGGACTGTCCACGCAAGTGACTTCAGATGAAATAAAGATTGATGTCACTCCGCCACAACCAGTAAAAGGGATGAGTGGAATTTCATTGGATTTGGAGGAGATTTGTAGTGGGGTCTCTGGCGGATCTTGTAATACGACAACATCAGGTAAAACTAAAATAATTGTATTTAAACTGGATAGCAGTTCAGTTCTAAACTGTTCTTCCTAGGGGTCCAGTAAGGGTCAATTTCAGGTTCGGGATTATGACAAATGCAGTTCTGTCTTGACTAGTTTCTTTAGAAGTTCACCTCACTTACCTGAAGAAAACCAGTTGTTGTGTATGGTATTTGATCATGAGTAAGTTGTAACTATGGTGAAATTTGAATCAGACAACTGGATAACTTGACCACATGTTTCTGTATCAGTCAGGGTGCTCGGTCAAAAATTTTATAGTTGTTGTGTTGTTTTGTTTCAGAAATGAAAAGTGACGTTCCTATAGAAATTTCCTGCAGTAGTGGCTTGGTCAAAGTTTCGTGGTTGAAACATGAAGACAAAGAATCAGGGATAACCAAAATTGAGTGGTGTATTGAAAGTGTTGACAATATGTGTAATATACAGCCTTGGAAAACCGTACCAACAAACCAACAAACAAAATCTGCTATTATTCATTCTCTTTCGACTTTAACAAGTATCCAAGCTGCGGTTCGTATTTCAAACGGCGTAGGAAACACTGCATTGCTTAAATCAACCTTGTGCAACCCAGTAAAAACTTTCCCGCCTAAACTCAATGTGGCCGAAGTAAAAAATTTGAATAAGGCACTCACGGATATAGACTACCAGGCCGACACTGAAGCGGTTATAGTCACGTGGTCGTCGCATAGCAACCTGTCGTCATCCTCTAGTGTCCAGGCTGCGCTAACCGAGCCGAAAGAAAACCTAAATGAAACCGAGTCTTTGTTTCAAAAATGGCGAGGAGAACCGTTTGCTTTTGAGTTCGTGGACATCCCACGTGGAAAGACGCACATACGGTTTAGCGGTGATATGATAAAGCCATACATGAAGTATCGACCCGTCGTTAGACGCTGTAACAAGGTTGGACTTTGTAGAGATTCAGTTGGAAACGGAGTAGTGATTGTGCCAGACGCACCCCCTGATATACAGGTAATAATCATCACCACCATCATCATCATCATCATCGACTAGCATTATCATTTAATATTATCACGACTTTTCAATCATATATTCAAATTGCTTCTTTGGAATTCCAGTATCGGCTTCCTCGATTTCGATTGATGTAAGCCCTCCCAGGTCTTTCTCTCCTCCTTTACCATGTAACAGTTTCTCGCTGATTACGTCAGCAGAAACAATGTAAGAGCTACTGGATATTGACCAATCACGAACTGAAATAAAGTTTGAATGTATAGTTTCTTGTTCCTCATTGTTCTTCTATTGTGTGCCTTCCAGCGTAATCAGTAATCCAGTTCATGTACGCAGAAAAGTGTTTGAAAGACAATGGTGTATCTAAAATAATTTAGCATCTTAATTTTATAAAATCTGCGTATAATCTAAATGTGATGTTATCTTTATTCCCAGGTAAACGCAACGGATACATTTGTTGGTACAGAACAACAGCGCTGGCGAGAATACGTAGGACTGCCACCTTTATCCAGAAGTATGGTTGAGGAGACATATTTCATTCCAGATCCTTTCAGTTTAGTCGTCAGAGCAAAACCCCAGCACCTCCAAACAAATGAATTAGCTAAGCATCATATCGAAATCACCTACCAAGCTAGTGTGTATAGAGTCACATCAGGCGCGAATGAAACACGAAATGACACTATCGATGTAAAACATATTTTTGACTATTCTCGTATAAGCAGCGACTCCAATGTGTGTTGTGAAAAGAGGAATACCGGACCACGCACAATTTATCCTGATAAACAGATTAAGCCAGTTCAAAAAACTTATGCATTCGGTGTGTCTGTAAGTGTTTTGAAAGATGACTTAATAGTTGCATCCTCTCAGGATACTGCATACGTATTTTCGACAAGGTCGTATAAAAACACGCCTATAACATTAGTAACTTTTAATTCGACGACGATGAATAACAGTTTTGTTAAGGTTAAAGGAATGAATGATACCGTTTTGGTATCGGGTGAGGAAAAATTGCTGTTATATAAAATAGATGCAGAAAATCTGGCCCAAACCACTCAGATTTTGGCCATTACCAATTGTAATCACACGAGTGCGGAAGCCGTCAAACACTGTACGAACAAAGACCTGTGGTCTTCTTCGGAAAGCGTCGGAGAAGAGTTTGCGTACGATGGTGTTGAAATGATCGCCGTCAGCGGTAAGCATCCAGAAGAGGGTTACGGTGTTGTTGCTATTTTTAGAAATGATTCTAATAGGTGGAAGTTGCACCAAGTTTTGGGAACCGAAGAAAAAGACCAATCGTTTGGCAAGGTTATAACCATAAATAAGAATTTCTTGATTGTAGTTGGTTCTGATATCCATACCTATTCGAGAGCATCAGAAAATTATTGGCAAAATAACACAGCACTTTCTGAGATATTGTCCAATAACAGTTCACACGAAAGCAATGTGTATCTGACCAAGAAAGATGAACTATTTGTTCTATCTGTTCCGGACCGAACTCTGACAGTTTTCGACTTACAACCACCAGCTAATGCGATAGAGCGATGCCGGCATGTTTTTTCAGTATTTCTTGTGTTAAGTGGTAATCTTGGTGTGCTGGAAGGTAGTACAACCGTTGCTGCTATTGGAATTATGTTCGATGGTCGAGATGGGAGTGAATTGGTGCTTTATGAACCCGACGATGGTTGTTCGCAAGTTGGTAGAGTGCTAACAAGAAAATGTCCACGGTTTGATGATGGTCGAATAGGAGCAACAGTGTCTATGGATGACCGACACCTTGTTATTGGGACGCCTGGTCTGCACACGTGGCCGACCGATTATGTAGATTCGGGCACCGGCCGCGTATATCTGACCTCATTTTGCCCACGGAATTTCGTTCGTAGAAAGGTGTTTGAGTTTGGACAGAGAGAACGCGTGGCGTGTGTTCCGTGTGGAGTGGGGGAAGAGGCATACCCCGGGTTCGAAGAGCAATGCGTAAATTGTAGCCGGACTATTTGTGTGGAAAGTTCGAATGTTTTTTATTTCAGTGTCTCACATTGTGATAAATATCCGTGTGGGGTGAACGACAACCGAACGATAATGCAGAATGCTTACAACCTTACAGTCACCGAATCTGCGCCAAGCTTTGGAGAAGATGAATTCTACCTACCAGGTTCGGAGCAGAGTTATTTCATTAGGATCACCCAGAAGTCAGCTTCGGGACTCACGACAATCTCCGAGAGCTTTCCGTTCTCTCTCGATAACACCTCGCCCGAGCCGGGATTAGTCTACGACGGCTTAGGTAGCGACGAAAATCGAAACTGCTCGGCGAATACGACCCTCAGTTCTGAACATCAATGTTCGAGTCGTAGCCTTTCCGACACCGATATAGACTTCACTAACAATACTGCATCCATAAGTGCTCGCTGGATCGATTTCCGTGACAATGAAAGCGATATTGAACATATATTCTGGTGTATTGGGTCCAGGCCACTTCGAGATGACATCATGGGGTGTGAGAATGCAACGAGCCACCTTAATAGGACTCTGACTGGACTGTCGTTACAGCATAATGATACTTACTATGTGACAGTGTTGGCGTGTAATTATGCTGGGTTATGTACAGCGAGGTCCAGTGATGGTGTTTCGATCGATACGACACCACCTGTAATACACTATGTCAAAGATGGCCTGATTGGACCTGATATTGATTTCCAGGTTATAGTTTTCTTCTGTATATTTTATTGTTTAAGTGTCAACTTCTATTTTGAAGTCGTTTATAGGTCTTTTATAATTTTTTTGTGTTCTTTCCATGAAACACGGAGTACTGTTCTGAGCATTCGTGTGTATTTTAAAGGTTTAAAATTCATCTTCTGCCGTCTTTTAGGTATTCACGAATATCATATTCGGCAACTGGGCAGCAGATGATCCCGAGAGCGGAGTAGTCTCGTACGAGATTGGATGGGGCTCGTCTCCAGGCCTTGACGACGTCTGGGAATTTCAAGAGATCGGCAACGCTAAAGCGTATTACGCGAAGTTCAAACACGGAGACTTGGCGAAAGGTCGTAAATACTACGTCACCGTAAAGGCCATCAATGCCGCGGGGCTTGAATCGGAACCAATGACATCGAATGGCATCGTCGTCGGAAAGACGGAGTTTGTGTTCTCGAAAAACGACTCGGGGTCGTTCTTCTTCGATACAGTGAATGTGAATTCGAATGAAACTAAAGAAAAGGATTCTGGTATTGGGAATACGTTTGGGACTTTGGATGTTCCTGTCGGAGCTGTCGAAGATGAGGTGAAGTTTCAGGTTTATAGCCTTAGTGAGAAAGAGATGGAAAATGGCACTGATGATAATACAACAGTCGTTGATCCTGAAATTGTTAAACCACCCAAGGTAGGGAGAAAATGAATATAACGGCTTCTCCTTGATAAGTAAAATCCTCAAGCGTGCCTGTGCCCTTAAAAAGTACTGTGCCCTGAATAAACCAGAGGATTTTACTTAGGAGTATTTTACTATAAGGAGTATTTCGACGTTTCGAGCGAAGGCCCTTTGTTGAAGTGGTATTGTTGTTATAAACTCTCCGGACAAAGGGCCTTCGCTCGAAACGTCGAAATACTCCTTATATATTTTCACTAGGTAGTTGCATCCCTACCAAAGAAAGCTTGTTAAATACGTGTCCTTGTTACTTTTGACAGAGATTCTATTCTTGCAATATGCAGTTCTATATTTATACAATCCTGGCTAAAAACCTTGGCTTACCGTGAAGCAAAAATCACAAATTTGGTTTTGCAGACCTGTAAAATGACCCTACTAACTTTTCCTTAATTGCCCCTACTTCGCTGTTGAATTTGTTGCATTACCTTAACTGCAGCTAACATTGTATGGGGAACACATTGTTATATAAGTGAAAATGGTCAAAAAAGAATAAATAAGGTTTAATAGATAATTTAGTTTAGATTTGAAACTCATCTCCACATGGTATCCAACGTTATAGTGAGCTAATTTTATTACCGCGTTCATTTCTTTTATTCCTCATTTGTTCTTTTTCAGCATTTCAAATTGGGCAGTTATAGTTTTCAAATCAAAGCTTACGAACCAGAAAACAACACGTTACAGTCTGAATATCATTTCATGAAACCCATAACTATCTCATTGTTCTATGATGTGGATCAAATGTTGAAGAAAAACAAGAAAACGGTCAATAACGAGGTGACGAAGGAAGATATTGATCCTGTGCTTTTACTCTGGGATACTAAAAATCAAACATGGTAAGGATATGTAGGAAAGCCTTCTGGGCCTCGTTCCGATGCACCCAGAAACATTAATGTTGTTGATATTTTCACAGGTTTGATGCGGCCAAAACCTGCCCAGAGCCATGGACTTTCGTTGACCACGCCGCAAAACTCCTCAAATTGCATGTGTGTCACTTGACACAGTTTGCGCTGTTCTGGTCGTTTGAAGCAGAAAATGGAATTGTAGAATTCAACAAAGGAACTAATGGTAGGTTGAGAACATCATACTTGTAGAATATATTTTTGTGAAGGTATAAGGAATATTGGGATGGAGCAAGGCACGAGGGCCTGGGGACCATCGAGTCGACTAAAACTAGTGGCCATACGAATGGCCTTAGAACGAAATCCCAGCTGGTCTACGACTTCCGGCCCGATAGTCTTTATGGAAAATTAGGCTCAAATACTATTTTAAACAATGGAAGGTCTTGATATTCTTATGTTATGTAATACCATTTAGTTGAAAACAAAGGATTTCTTTGTCTTCTAATTTTCCACTGCATGCTTGATGAGGGAAATTTAGAAGACAAAAGCGTACCTCATTACCTCTGATTGGAGAGCTGTACCTCATCGAAATCATCGGCACAACAGACATCACTTTGCCAGCTTTTATTCCCTAATCTTGAACATTACAATTGTGGGGGAAAATTCCGTTTATGCGCATGCCTAAAACGAACAAACACGGAGATGTGTTTCTGCGCGTGCGTATATATGAAAAGTGTTCGTACCACAATCATAAGACAATCAAACAGCATTCAAAACAGGCAACACACCACGCGCGATTCCCTCGGCCTCTATTATATTACAAAGTAATAGCATGGCATTACGGTCGATTAGTGATGAAATCTCCCTCAAGCCTCGAGAGGTTTAGTAAAAGTCCCTCGGCGCTACGCGCCTCCGGACTTTTACTAAACCTCTCTCGGCTTTCGGGTACGTTTAATCACTAATCGCCCTGAATGCCATGCTATTACTTATAATTATGTTATACTTACAATGTTTTAGGTTCATTGACTCGTCCGCCTCCACACGCCATATTAGAAGAAGACAACAGTGTCATCTACAATCCTGAGCGATATGGCAACAAAATGATTCTTGATATAGTCAGACGCAAGGGCTCTTCTGGAACCATTAATGTCACATGGGTTGCCACCAGCCAATCAAATGCCGAGATTCCATTTACTGTTTCTCCGGTGTTTAGTGAGCTGACGTTTATCGAAAGTCAATGGAATTCATACATTCATTTGAAATTCGGCGCCATACCTTCCAACATGAGCGAGGCTGTGCTGAATGTGAAATTTTTGAATATGACTGGTGGTGCAAAGTTGGGGAACGTAACCAGTTTGAAAATAGTCTTTCCAGCTAAAGTTGAAAAGAAAGAACTCAAAGAAGATCAAGATAGTAATGTCATTTTGGAGACTGTTGTACCATCTGTAGCTGGTGTATTGATGATCTTGGGTGTAGTTGTGGCGTGTATTATTTTCCGCAAACGTCGAAGGTAAGACTGTGATGGTGGTGATGATGGGGTTGAAGATGTTGGTAGCTGTGTGGGTGATGGTAATGTTGGTGGAAATGATGATAGTGGCGATGATGATAATGGTGATGATGGTGGTGGTGATAATGGTGGTGGTGATGGTGTTGATGACCGTGGTGTGATGGCGGTGATCATGGCGATGTTAGCGATAATGACGATAGTGGTAATGATAACAGTAACGATGGTGGATATGATTAGGAGGTGATGGTGATAATAGTGGCGGTCGTGATGATGGTGTTAATTATGTTGGTGTGGTGGTGGTGACGGTGATTATGGTGGTGGTGATAATGGTCGTTGTGGTGGTGGTGATTGTTGATTATGGTGGTGGTGGTGATTGTTGATTATGGTGGTGATGATGGTGCAGATGACGATTCAATACATAATGATATGAATAGTAAAGATCAGTGTCTTTCCTTATAGTTATACACTTGAACAGTCGTCTTTAAGGGATGTAGGCAACGTTATCTCTGGACAAGTGTAAGTACTATATCTTTTAAAACCCAATTAAACCTAGGTAAATCGAAAATGTTGTAGCAGGCATATAGAGCTGTGTGTTCTACTCGGAATAAAGGACTTTTTACCTGTGTGGACAGCGTTTAATAATACGGTTCTATGATGAAATTCATTCGTAGTTGCATGTGATACGAGTGCTTTCACTCCGACAGACCATTAAAAACCGCATGCTTTCTCTCTGTACCCCGGTTGTAACAATGAAACGATTGAACTGGGTTATTCAGACTGTCCAGTCTGTACTGTAGAGTCTAGATATTTTCTCAGGTAATTGCACTACAAATCTAATTGTTGTTTCCTGGTTTCACAACAGACCAGAACCGTTGGAGCAAATTGCTGAAACATCGTTTATTCGAGACCTAGGACATGTTAACCCCGGGCAAGACACAGACCACCATACTGATGAAGAATTATGAGAAAATTCAAAGAACAACAACTATTCAAAGAACAACAACTAAAGTTTTAGAACATTACAACCGTACAGTATAACTTACAGTAAAACGCAATCATAAAAATAATTCCAGCAGTATTGAGTCAGTATTAATATATATGTTGAAAATAATGTAAATACATACTAAAATTATGAATAATATACGTTGGTAACCACTTGTCATGCAGCTGAAGGAGTGCAACCAACAGCTATGTTTTGTGGGAAATAGGCAATTGACCTCATGCCAAACATTGTATTTGTTATAAAATTTTATTTTTTTGTAAAAGTAAATGGTGGTAATCCAACCTATATATGTTTAAACCGATTTGTATTTTGGCATACGTAATTGAATAACTTGCATGCATAATCTAAAAATGAAAATTAAAGCCCAGCAAATGACTTTCAGACAAGACATAACAAAATAGAAAATTTATTAGCTAACGTTTCGTTGTATTGTTCACAACATCTTCAGAGCAATTAAACTTATTTACAAGCGTGTATCATATATATATACAAATAGTTACAAACGGTTACGGTATTCAAATAAGCGAATAAGAGGAAGAATGAAAAACAACCTGTCATTAAAAGCAATAGTATTAATCAAATATTGCTGGATTCAAATATAATATATATATTATATATTCAAATCAAATATTGCTGGATTCTGGGTCGCTATTGGTCTGAAGATGTTGTGAACAATACAACGAAATGTTAGCTAATAAATTTTATATTTTGTTATGTCTTGTCTGAAAGTCATTTGCTGGGCTTTAATTTTCATTTTTAAATTACGCTTTCCACCCGGTGTATCAATCGCTACTGTTCTACAACTTGCATGCATTTAAAGTTTTGCCAAAAACTAATTGAACAGGACATCTGGGCTTAGGGTGGGGGTCAGTGTATGTTATATGTAATCAGCAATATAGCCAAGACAATCACTTCGAACCGACTTGGCCTCATAGCTCAGTTGGAAGGTCGTGGGTTTAATTACAACTGCGGTCAAGCGAACCTTTTTACTGGACTAGTTTCCATGACAACGAATCAAATATTGCTGGATTCTGGGTCGCTATTGGTCAAGCCCCACTGGGTATGGACATCACACAGGCCCGTAGCTGGGGGGGGGGCAATGCCCCCCACTCGGTGGGGCAGTGCCCCCCAGTGCCCGCCCACTCGGAAATAAAATCGAAATTATGCCCCCCCCCCTTAAGGTTTTGCAGAACTAATAGCTGTTAATGTAATTTTTTTTGGGCTAAGGACCGAAATGTGGTATGAAAAATTGAGATAAAGGACCTGGAAACCAATTGCAATCATGGGACAAATTCTGTAAATTTTGTGGTTAAGTGATGTTTCGAAAATTTTTGTTAGGTTTCGGCAAAATTTTGGTTTGTCTGGAAAAAATGTTGGACCTTAAAATGGTACACTGACCAAAATTTTTTTGGCCACGGGGGGTGGGGGGGGGGTGTCACCAAAATAAATTCCGGAAAAAAATTGTTCTCATCTCAAACCCTCAGATTCTTTCAGCAGTGCCCCCCCCCAGAAATTGAGAGCCAGCTACGGGCTTGACATCACACCATATAAAAACTTAAAAGATTGACTCAGAAGCTAGGTTTGAGTTAAGTCAGCACTCAGCAATATTTGCAACAGTTTAGGCAACAAATCAAACTGTTTCTTCACAACCTACAGGAGTACAGGACTTCTACGATACAGACAACAACCAACAAGCGAGATTTTCTATGTGTAAATCTTTGAGAGAAATGATAGCTTTACCAATGTACTGGTCAGTTTCACACTTGCGGTAAAGGTTTTGGGGCAACAGCCATACAATGATAGTTGTTTAAGGGACCGGTCATTATTTATAGCGGGGGGTGGCACCGAAGAGAAATGTTTTCCGTGTCAAAAATTTTGCTGACCCAACCATTAAAAAGACAAAAATTTGATTACCCAACCTCAAATATCAATTAAAAATTAACTACCCACCCCTGGCCAAAAACTTAACAAAAGGATACCATTCAGTTGTCATACATGTCCTTTATCACTTCAGTGACATGAGTTTGATAACGGCTTGTGAAATTTTCTGCAGTCTAAAGTTTCATGTCGTCTGCACATGTACTTTCTTTGGAAACACAATTTGTTTTGTCGAACTATGGTGAAGATAGTGACTCTGATTGATTCACATATTGTATTGACAAATGACTGTTGACATTGCTTTTCAGTCTCCAATATTTCAGTGGGTCATGCTTTGGAAATGACAATAAATTTTTATTACCCAACCCTTGAGTTGTTTTGTTTTTCATTTACCCAACCTTTTACTTACTCAAAATTTTGTTTACCCAACCCTTTTCTCTTCGGTGCCACCCCCCGCCATAAATAATGACCGGTCCCTTATCTTCAGAAATATTAACATTTGTAGGAGCAAGCAAATTATACTAAAATTTTTCAGTTTCACTTATTTGCCTTCAAATATAAAAGACTAATACATCTAATAATAATTTTCTCTCTCTGATAATGGCAGGTCATGATACCATCTTGTGCACAAAGTACTTCCTGAACAGACATTATATCCGAACTTGCTAATAATATTAACAGATGCCCTACAGTTCGATCTGCGCACGTGCACAAAGGAGCCCACTTTTTATGATACAAACAGTTTAACTATGTTTTGGGTTCTTGCAAAGCCTGATTGTTGTTTCTTGATCTTTATTATACTCTAGAAGCTTGAAAATATAAATAGTTGTCGAATAAAGCTCAATATTTTGGACACAAAAATGTAAACAAAGGCTTTATTTACATACGGACTGTAGGGCACCGTTTTAATTTATTTTTGGTGTACTCACATATTGTACTGTAATATCAGATATTTTATAAAACTTAAGGCATTACCTTGATCATTTAACAGAACACAACGTATTTTTAGTCCCTTTTCACTCATGTCTCTGCAGTAGTAAGCTTTTTAAAAGCAATCTTCGCGGTGTTGTTTTCAAAATTAGCGGCTAAATTCTTACCCTGGTTCCAGAGGTTTAAAATAAACCTCTGGTTGAAAGCGGCAATTGATTCATCGAGCCGCGCCAATCAGTTTGAATTAGGGTCAGATCCTGACTCTGTCTCCTGATTGGATAATTGTATTAAAGCTCTCTGATTGGTTATAGATGTTTTATTTGAATCAATCAGAGAGCTTTAATACAATCATCCAATCAGGAGACAGAGTCAAGATCTGACCCTAATTCAAACTGATTGGCGCGGCTCGATGAATCAATTGCCGCTTTCAACCAGAGGTTTATTTTTCCTCTCCCCTTCGCAATGAAAATAATAAAAATAAACCTCTGGAACCAGGGTACTAAATTCTTCGCCATGTTGAATTTTATCTGTACCATAATCTTGCTTACATGAAGTATTTCGCCACTGATCTCAAAGTTATTAAAATGATTATAACTGGAACGCTACATTCAGATGAACTCAGAACTACCTGCAATGGAAAATATAAACCGCCAACCCGGCTATAGTGTTTCTTTCAACTCCTAGAAATTATTTTTGAAAGTTTTTCAAGTTTGCTTGGGCTAAAAAACATACCTTGGTTTCCCATTCTGATCAGGGTTTTTTTGTAATTTTTTTATGGATAATGCTCATGCGTGAGAATGCGATTCTATGTCGATTAAGCCTACTTTGGAGTGGTAACTCGCCTAACTGAATCGCCACAACGGCACAAGATGATGCTATATAATAATTTTGTTTGTGGAACAAATTGAATAATGCTAGTTTAGGCGATTTAATTTAGGACTTTGAAAAAGATTGCCTCTTAAATGAACAAGTTAAAACCTTGCTTCATTTCAACATTTTATAAACCTTATGCTGTAGCTAACCACCGCGCCGTATAACGGCAAAGCAGAAAAATTTCGGAAAAGATTTTATTATTCTAAAAATTATATTTTCATGAAATTAAAAAATGTTTTCCCCTTTCATAACTTTTATAAAAAGCGATGTACACATGCAAAGCAATATCACAATAGTCATCAACCATATAACAATAATTACGATATATCGTTGCTCAAATTTCTACCTTCGATACCATTATTATGAGTGAAAATATCCCGATAATGCAGTCGTTCCCGTATTAAGCGGACGCTTCGGGGACCTCACCAATTTAATTGTCCCGCGCTTACTAGGGTTGTCCGTTGTCCGCTTATGATAGGGGTTTGTTCTATTAAACGCAATAGGGGTAACACCCAACTAATTTAGAAGCAACTGTTTGAAAGAAAAATTCAAGAAAGAAAAGTTTGTTTTAGGAGTTGAATTCAAGCTATTAGCGTTTATATACTACATAGAAATACTGCAAACAATAAAAAACAAAAATATGTCTAGTTAATTAGTTGAATACATTTTTACCATTGATTGTTATACGAAAATTTGCATATTTACATTCATCAGTTACCTATGTCCGCTTTCGCTTAATAGAGGCGCCCGCTTAATAAGGGATGACAACAGTATTTTATTAAACAAATCATTGGGATCGGAGGTATGTGTCTGTCTGTTAATAAGGATTAGACTGTATATTAATACATCGAAATATCTCCCAAGTAAAGCTATCATTTCTCTTAAACATTTACACACACAAAATCTCGTTCGTTAAGTAGAGTGTTATCTGTATCTAATAAAAGTCTTGTAGGTTGCGAAGAAACTTTTGTGACAAGCCCAGCTTGATTGGTTGCCTCAACTGTTGCGAATATTGTATCACCTCGAGACAGTCCATATTGCTGAATTAACTCAAACATAGTTTCCGAGTCAATATTTAAATCTTTATATGGTATGATGTCCGCACCCAGTGGGGCTCGACCAATAGCGACCCGGAATCCAGCAATGTGTGATTCGTCGTCATGGAAACCAGTCCAGTAAACACGTAGTGTTGTGTTAAGGAAGTGACATCCCGTATGTTGATGTCGTATGTCGTGGTTTGAATCTGGACTGATTATCACCACACCCTAAAATGGGATAGTTCAGTTTTTGTAAGTTTCTTAAAAATATGCAAATTTACATCACATAATGAAATACTGTTAATACACCCTTCCGGAATGTATTCGGCATTGGCTATAGAGCCTCGTTTTCGTCATGGAGATGTTGGGCTTATCTTATTACAGATGGGCACATTTACAAAATCATACAGTTATATTAGATAATATATAAGACTCTATACAATTAATCATCACTAACAAGCTAACTGACCCCAAAGCCGATATCTCAATCCCGAAATCTAGGTTATGTAACCAGGGCCGCTGAGAGAATTCGCGGGGACCGGGGAAAATCTTCTCTAGGGTCCCTATGACATCATTATTTTTAAGGTAGACCCAAGTCAGTCACCCAACTAGACCTATAAACTGCATGTGGAGCTACTGCGAGGGGCCCTAAATTTCAAAAATGCTGTGACAAATTTAAAGAACCTACTCAATTTTAAGCTCTTGCTCTCAAGTTGGAGCCATATTAAGGTAAGGGCCCGGGGCAATTTTCTCCCGTTGCCCCCTCCCTCTCGGCGGCCATGTCTATAGCCAAGTCTAAGTACTTTTCGAACGAAAAGCCTTAGCCAAGAATTTGTTTCCATCTGCGTGTGTACGTGTGGCTGTGTGTTTGTCTGTCACCATGGTAACTTACTACACTCACGTATTACCACACGTATTAATGTTAAAATGTATGTGACTAATGGATATTGCCCAAGGAGAAATTGATGAAATTTTGGTTAAATTTTGATGAAAAATGGATGAGAATTAGCGAAAGTTTGTCTTGCTTTGTCATGCTGGGCAGAGTAAACTGAATATAAATTTACAATGGGTATAATTTATGCATGACACATAAATTAATTCGCTGGCGGGGTTATACAGTCTCTAAATTAAATATGCTCTCTAGTAATTGCGAATGACTTACGTTTTCCGGTGGGGTGTTATCGATTCTTACTGGCGACGAATCAACTTCCATGCTTCTTACACCCAGCGAGTTTATACAAGCAACAACAACGTTGTAACTTTCTCCATGTGTTAGTGTCAAGTTAGCAGCCAGTATATGATCCTGGCTTGTTGTAGTTTGCGCTGGAGTCACAATTGTCCCGTTGCTAGTTTTGATGATAAACTCACAGTCTTTAATTCCACTTTCCTCGTCTATAAAGCCACTTACTGTCGCACGCAGGCTACAGGTTTCCAAACAAGGCATGTAGGGTGGTTTTAATACAACTTCTCCGTTTGTGGGTGGGGTTAGGTCTACCGTTACCCCTTCCGTGGTGGCTAAATTAAATAACCCCGCTTTATTCCAGACTCGTATAGTCATGAAATAAGTGTGCTTGTGTTTTAGCTTGCATTCAAAGCAAGTGACACTTGTCTGGTTTTCAGGCATACGTTGCATATCTTCTACTTGGCAACCGCCAGTGGTTGTACCAATACAGTATTCAGTGAAGTCTATGCCACTCTCATCGTCATACGTGTTCCAATTTCCATTTAAGTACTCTCCTGGTCCGATAAACCCTGGCACTGTGTCCGAGGATTGAAAGTTTACCTGAAATGGTATGGTATGGTATGGTAAAACTTTATTTAAACACGCTAGCCTCGATCATTGCGAGTTGCTTTTCATGAGGGGCGTCACACAATAACTACTTAGAAATTAAAGAATATACACATTAAACTATATACAAGTTAAACTATATAAAAAAACAAGGAAGCAAAGAATAATAGAAAAGGAATTATATAAAAACTTAACAATTGGTGCGATCCAAAGGAGGTGTTCATGCCTAACGTATTTTTCTTTTAAAAGAAGAAAGGATTTCAGAATTTTTTTAATCCTCAGAAAGATGATTCCATTGCATGGCACCACTTTATCGAAAAGTTTTCTTTAAAAATTCACTGTTAGGCTTAGGTAACCATGGGTCTGTATCGCTACTACGCAAATCATAATTAGACTGAATTGTGTTTCTTTTGCAGAAAATGAGTGAGATAAAGTACGAATGGTTACAAATACATCGCAGGTTAGCAAAAATATTTTTCTTCAATGCCTTTGTGACCTCATTCGCTCATATATAACTTAAATACCTGAAAACTTTTTTAAAATCTTTTGACATTCCGTGAGGAGGCCCGTTCCAGCTATTAACTTGCTGCCAAAGAGCTTTTACTAGGAATGCAGAGTTGTTTTGAATCTTTTCAGCTTATCATGATAGTATACCACAAACATTAAACCCTACGTTTGAAACTCATACTTATACCTTGTCCTGACCTTGGTTATGTTGACGGATTTCTGTTGATGGAAATATTAAGTGTGAATTCACTTAGACCTAACACGAAGTAGTTGTGAAAAAATGCAACTATAGACTTTCTGGCAGGAATTGAACTAATGTTTCGTCTGCAGCTGGTTAGGTTTAAAAAATGTATAAAAATTCAAACTGGAAATTTCCATCTTCAAAATCCTTCAATCTTTAAGCCCTGGGCAAACTAGGAAACATTGTTGCGGAAACATTGTTGTTTCCCAGGAAACATTGAAACTAGGAAACATTCTTGTTTCCCAGAGTGGGCAAACACTAGGAAACATTAGTGAGAAACATAGGAAAACATCAAATGTTTCTGAATTTGCTAGGAAACATTTTTCCTTCCCAGGAAGCAAATTTTGTTTCCGCAACAATGCTTCCACGGGTGGGCAAACATGGAAACATTTTAGAAAACATCGAGAATCACAAATGTTTCCGCAACAATGTTTCCTAGTTTACCCAGGGCTTTAGTTCCATCGAGCGGGATGGCCAAAATCCTGATAGTTACCTTTGTTATTATTGGAGGTGTCGAGTCAACTCTGACACCGCTTGACGAAACACGTGACCTCAATCCAGCATTATTTACAACTTCTAACGTGACGTAATAAGTGGACCCAGAATTCATAGTGAGATTTACGACTTGTACATTGGTTGCCATGCCAACCGTGGCGAATCCGCGTACGTCGTCGCGATCGGGTCCAGTCCCTACGGCCACTAAATACTCTTTGACGCCACTTTGGGGATCGCTGCCTGGGCTCCAGTGTACGCTGAGGGCGTTTGTAGAAGACTGGTAATCAATGTCGGAATTCTGAACAGTTCCGTGAAATATTTTTCCCGATATTGGAGGAGTGTTGTCACAAATCGCGCCGTTAGAAGAAACTGAGGTTTTAAAACCGTCACGGTTACTGCATTCGACAGTCGAGATATATTTCAGACCAGGTATTAAAATAAATTTATGAGGAATGGACCCGCTCACGTTGACCGTCAACCTTACAACGAGATAAGGCCCGGTAGGTCCCTCCTCAATGATGGTAAGCCTACATTTCTTGATACCAGACTCCGGGTCTGTAAACCCAGACCATGTGGTAACCAAGGGAGCACTGTCGTTGATATAGTTGAGGTCTTTGTCAACGCCGTCGATTACCGTCCCCGCTATAGGTGGAGTGAAGTCAATTTCGATCACATCAGAATTAACGGTTGTTTTCAAGCCTGCGTTGTTCGTTGCTATGACAATACCATAGAATGGCGTGCTCAGGTCAACAGGTGTGAATTGTTGAACAGTTCCTTGAAGTATTAAACCGGCATTTGTAGGGGCAGTCGAACAGACATCTTTGATATAGCCCAAACAAAACTCATAACCACGGATCCCGCTTTCTAAATCTTTAAAACCATCCCAAGTTAGGGTATAATCGACTTCATTTGCAGTTTGGTTCAAAATTTTGTGAGCCACTGTAACCACGCCTTCCGTCGGTGCGGTCCTGTCCACAATGAATCCGTTTGAAGACTTGTTACTAGTCCTTCCGCTCAATGAAGTCGCGCGGACAGTGACGTAATACCTTACCCCAGGCTCCAGCTCAATGTCGCTGTCAGACAGCGATTTCGAAACCCTTGCATGCAACCTTACTTCTGTGTACTCCATGATACCCTCAGGTGCTCCTATAGTCCCCACAGCCCACTCGTATCCTATGAGGGGGTCTTTTGAATCGTCGTAGAATGCTCCCCATGATGCACCAAGTATTTCGCCAATGACGTCATAATCTAAATCACGTGATCCAAGTCCATCGTAAACATATGACATCACAGGCCATTGGTCAGCTACTGACCAACCGTTAGAATACTGATAACTAGTGACGCCGGCGTTATTGGTACAACGGATGGCATTAAAATACGAAGCATTGGTGGTTAATTGTAGTTGGGCAGCGGCTCTTTCTGCATGACGTACGTTATACGTTGTGTTAGCTTCATCAATGGTTTTATCATAAACGACAAGCTTGTCGTTCCCATCATGCCTCAGGATGATCCATTGACACTCCCGAAGTCCACTTTGAATATCTTGTGCTCCATACCACGTGACTGTAGGCAGCCAATCACGGTCGACCTTCTCAAAGTCTGGACTTGTCGCTCTTTCTCCGTCAAGTACACGGCCTATTTGCGGAGGACTGGAATCCACAGTGACGCCATCTGAAGAAAATATGGCGGATAACCCCGCTTTGTTAGTCGCCCTGACTCTCGAAAAGACTTTCACATCCCTGTGCATTTTACAGTCTTGGCATACAAATGATGTGTTTTGTCCCATTGAAGTGAACGGTTTGATCAAGCAATTGAAGCGAGTGGTGCCCACGCAATATTCAAACTTTTCTACACCACTTTCTAGATCTGTGATATTCTCCCAAGTGGCAGAGACAGAATCATTGATCGAGATGAAATCAATATCGCGTTCTGAACGTCCATCTTTGACACTTCCATTTTGTCCTGTTGGTGCAGTTTGGTCAACGACCAGAACTTGTAATAACAACGACGTCACCAGCCCTGCTGCATTGCTAGCCCTGACTGTAACATAATATCCCCGATCATCCTTTAGATCCAAATCAGTAAACTCAAAATTTGTACCCAAACCAGTTCTGGTAAATTCGTGTATATCGTCTAGGGATGCTCTTGTTCCTATGCCTATTTCATAAAATTCTACAGGGCTTTCATTGTCTGCAAATCGTTCCCAAGCTACTTTAAGTGTGTCGGAATGAGACTGGTAGCTTCGCCGAGGTAGTGCCTCTTCAACTGCGGTATAAAATGGCGGGGTGTTATCTATGGTGAAAGGTTTTGAATAAACTGTGGTTACTAGTCCTGCATAGTTGATGGCCTTAAAGACTATGGCACATGCTGTTCCGTGCGGCAAGCTACGAAGTGAAATGTCAAACTGGACTTGGGTTGAGTTAAAAGTATATTTCAGCACGGATGTATTAGATTGCATTACTGAAATTTCATATCTTTCTATCCCGCTTTCCATATCCTCAAAATCGAACCAGGTTACGCGTGGGTCCTCGTCAGAACTGAAGTAGGTTTTCTCAGTCCCTGTTTGTGAAGTTACCCGGATGTTGCCAGCCCGAGGCGGAGTGTGGTCAAAAAGGAGTGGTGACGAGCAAGCACGTGATACGAGGTCGGCTCGATTTTGCGCTATCACTGTGACGTAATAAGGCACGCCAGATCGGAAGTGTAGCTCATTTCCTGTAGTGTTGGCACTCGTCGCTGAACCGATGTTTATGAGCGGTTGAACCTGGGTACCGCATTTAGATGTCCCTATCGCCCACTTGTAGTACCATATTTCACTCTCAGGTTCCTTGAAATCTCCCCATGTCACGTATATTCCCGAGGCAGTAGATGAATAATAGGTCCCAGTCTCTTGGATGAAGCGCCACTCCAATCCCAGCGTAATGTGACTCGGCACGGGGGGAGTGGTATCAATAGTGACTCCATTCGATCTCAACTCACGCAAACCCCCCGCTCTGTTGTACACGCGCAGGAATACCGTGTAATTATGACCATGTTGTAGAGATAACACTTTCTCAGTTGTCACGTGAGTTTGCAGACCTACGTCAACAAAGTTCAAAACAGATCCCGGATACTTTTCCCCAATCCCCCATTCAAATCTTTCCACTCTGCTTTCCAAATCCCAGATTCGTTCCCAATTTGCGCTCATCTCTGTCGTGGAAGACTGGTAACGAACATCCGGTTCTAGTATTCCATCATGCACCACACCGGATGTTGAAGGTGTTGGATCAATAAGCACTCCATCTGAACCTAGGCATGACTTTAATCCTGCGTTATTTATAGCACACACCATGACGTAATACACGTCGTTGTGCAAACTTAGCCCAGATATTTTTGCTGATGTGTTTTGGCCAACGTCTATGAATGACGTCACATCTGGTTGGCCAACCCGATTCCGACTGACTGCAACTTCGAAATTCTTTATCCCCGAGTCATGGTCTTGAATCCCGGTCCAAGTAGCGGACAGCTCTTCCTTGCTTGACTGATAATCTATATCATCATCGCCACTACCGTCTAATACCATCGCCCGTTTCAGATCAGGGGGAGTCACGTCAACTATGAATCCGTCCGATGAGACAGGCTGAGTTTGAACCCCGGCTAGATTTTCTGCTTTGATTTTAATACAATATTTCTGACCGTTGACCAGACTCAGTCCTTGTATTCCAAACGAGGTAGCCGTGGCTGGATTAACCGGTATAAACTGGTTATTAGTCACGTGATAGTTTCCTTTGATGCAGCTACCGACAGCAATGAAGTAAGCTCGGACTATAACGCTCAGCGTTTCAAAACCTTTCCAGGTCGCGTAAATTTCGGATGTGTTCGTTTGGTAATCGATATCTATCGTCGGGTCATCGCCGTCCGACACCGTCCCGAGATCTGGAGCTTCACTTAACGGGATGAGTAGAGGTGATTTTATGTCGGCATGAAGACCAGCGTTGTTGATGCCACGTATAGTCAGTTGATATTCTTTGTTGTTTGTTAGCGAGAGGTTTCTAAATTGAAACAACGTAGGAAAAATTGAACATGTAATATGCTATTTAAAGAGGACAAAGGCTCTCGATGAGAACGAATGTTCTTCAAGAGGACAAAGGTTCTCGAAGTGGGCAAAGGTTCTCTCTTCGCCTCGATGTGCTATGGCACTCTAGCAAATCTCAGAAAAAACTTTACAACTTTCACCCTGAGGAAGCATTTGGCTGAAAGCTTAATTTTTTCTCGTAAAGACTTTGGTGACATTGTATTCTATCCACTAACCCAACATCTTCTCAAGAGATTGCAGCGAATACAATTTCCAGCAGCTAGTTTTGTGACTGCACTTTAGGTAAATAGCAGTGAATCGATTTTTAAATTGGATCGGTTACCCATGCGTGAACGAAGGGACTGGCACATTTGGTAAAGCCACACATAAGGCGTTATATAGGAGGGATTGGCCTCTCTACGTTAGCTAGAGAGGTCCTGAGAACGCGCGCGTTTTACGGTCAAATGCTGAAGTCAATTTAGTTTTACCTCTATAGTTTGTAATACATTTCAAGGTTGTTCAGCCCCATTATTTAATTCTCTACAAGCTGATATCATGCACAGATCATAGAGCCTTCCCTACACAAACTTTTAACGTTTTAATGCAACGCTGTCTTACTTTTTAGTTGTAATGCATAGGTTAGTTGTAAGGTATAGGTTTACAATTTTTTTCTATTTGCATGCTTGGATTTTCTAGTATAGTCTTATCAGGCGATAGTGGTAGTGATTCATCCACTGAATTGGTCTTTTGGGCAAGATCGAGAGAGGGTTCACTGTGAGGGAGCGGTCATAATTTATGGCGGGGTGTAGCACTGAAGAGAAAAGGGTTGGGTAAACAAAATTTTGAGTGAGTAAAAGGTTGGGTAAATAAAAAACAAAACAACTCAAGAGTTGGGTAATAAAAATTTATTGTCATTTCCAAAGCATGACTCACTCAAATATTGAAGACTTTTTAAAAAGCAATATCAATAGTCATGTGTCAATAGAATATGTAAATCAATCAGAGTCACCATCTTGATTATTTTCAGATTTGTCAGGAGGCAAATGGTGTCTCCAAAGAAAGTTCACGTGCAGACAACATGAAACTTTAGACTGCAGAAAACTGTTTGTACTCACCTTAGAATAGCTTTGGTAGCAAGTTTAACTCCTGGTACATCTTTCCATGATGTTGGCTGCACATTCTTCTCGACAACAGTCCATTGATACTTCCTTATCCCGCTATGTTCGTCTACAAACTGTGGCCAGGAGACTGTTACGGAGTCTTTATCTCTGATATACACCACTGTCTCGCCATTCTTTTGAGCTGTCTCACCCTGGACGCTCAAACTACCTGTATAAACTGGATGACTTATATCGATAAAAACTCCGTCTGATTTGACATCAACGTAATGTCCTACTTTGTCAATAGCACGTACTGTCAGATAGTACGTATTACCATTTGAAAGGCTTAACCCTGTAATTGTGATATTAGTTTGAAGACCTGCAGAAGCCCATGATGTAATACTTTTGTTATTCTTATCCGTTAACTTGTATCTATATTCCGCAAGTCCGCTACCCTTTTGCCCGTCGTCAAATCCATTCCAGTTTGCGTGAGTGACGTTATCCGCCGATTGATAATCGATGTCTTCCGAGGTTCCATCATTGACCGTGCCAGGTCGCGGTGCATAGTGGTCTATGAGGAGACAGTCGGAAGAAGCCTGGGTACTAAGACCGGCCGCGTTGACCCCTTCGACAATAGCGCAATACTGGACCCCCGAGGTTAGAGTCAATCCCGACAACTGACCGGCACGTCCCAAACCGACCGAAGTCAACCCGGACGAAACGAACCCGCCATCTTTTCTTTTCACACCGAGCTTGTACTCGACAATAGGTGTATGAGCGTCCGTGAATTGAGTCCAACTGGCATCATAGGTCCTAGTCCAGCTAGCATACTTGAGATCAGAAGACGGCCCGTCCGAGACCGTCCCTGGTTTAGGCTTGGACGTATCGACCGTCACCCCATTGCTGGAAATTTCCGAATAAAGACCTGCCTTTGTAAATGCTCTGACTGTTACGATAATGTTACTGCCATCTGTGATTATTGAAAAGGTTTTGGAAAAAGATGCTTTGAGGTTAACATTAGTAAAAGATTGTAAGACAGTGTTGTTATAGTACACAGCTATTTCATACTTTGCTATACCATGAGTTGTTTTAAAACCACCCCAGGTTACACTGATTGTTTTGTTCGATTGGAATTGAACGTCTTTCGAGCCCAGGCCATCGCGAATCCATCCTCCACTCGGCCTGCTGGTATCTATGGTAACCGCGTTGCTACATACAGGCAACCCAAACTGTCCACGAATATCGTAAGTCTGTACAACTACTTTATATGCCTCGCCGTTCTGTAAAGTCAACCGGCTAAGGACGTGGTTGTTTGTGTTGGTCAGGTTACCGGGGTTTTTACCAAGAGCGCAGCTGTCTTTGCCTTTCAGTAAAGACCATTTTATAGTGAGGGCACCACATGTTACTGAAAAACCAGTTAGTTTGAGGTAGAATTTGTCCGTGGTTGGTTGATATGCGATGGAACTTACAAAGTTTGAAAGAGTTAAAGCAGATTGCCCTTCTTGAAGTCTAATTGCGTCGACAACACGTGGTGGACATGTTCCCAGTGCACCGTTACATCTGTGAAAGAGAAATTAGACTCTGAATTTTGTTTCTGGTCATGTTATTTGTCTACCAGTATACCAGTAGCGAACACTTCGCGAAATTTTGGAGGGAGGATTTAGCTTGCCAACATATTGCTACGTTTTGTTGCTGAAAATCTTGGTTCTTTAAACTTTTAATTTTGCCTTAAATTTCATGCAATACCTTCCGGAAACATGGCTAGGAAACAATGTTTCCTGTTTCCCCACCTTTGGTGAACATGGCTAGGAAACAATGTTTCCTGTTTGTCCACCTTCGGGAAACATGGCCAGGAAACAATGTTTCCTGGTTTGCCCATTTTTGGGAAACATGGCTACTGGAAACATGTTTCCTGGTTTGCCCACCTTCTGGAAACATGGCTAGGAAGCAATGTTTCCTGTTTTGCCCACCTTCGGGAAACATTGCCAGGAAACAATGTTTCCTAGTTTTCCAAGACTCAACTTTCAAAAAAATCTCCTTAACTACCAAACTGTCGTCTCACCTTTCAGGCTGATCACACTTATCCACAGGTGAACGGCATATTGTCGCTCTGGGTCTCATGATATCCCTACATGTCCCGTTTCCCACACACTCAGAGCGCTGTATACAACTGATCTGGGGGTAGGATGATTGACAACTGTATGCCTTACCCACACATCGGCCGCTTTGACAGAGATCTTCTTTCGTACAGGCGTTGCCATCGTTGCAAGAGACCGCGGGTTTGTTGGTCCACACAGAGCTTGTTTTGGAAGCTTTGTCATAAAGGTCACACCACTGACATTCATTGCCTGGGTTTAGCTGTTGATGGTTGTAATCATTACCTGTTACCAAGAAATGTAAGTTTAACCTTAGTTGACCCAGTCAGTAAATGTGTGTTTATGTGGAAGCCACTCAATTCAAATCATTACCATCAACATCGCAACCACTACATCACCAACAATATCATTATCACCAAAATTACGAGGAGTAAACTGTTCTTCTTGTCGAAAGGATCATGTGGAATTTCTGAGCTTATACCTTTAGACGTTTCCTTACAGTAAATGCTTTTCCTGTACTTACTCCTATTTTGGCAGACATTTTCCCGTCGCCAATGTTCACCTACCTGCTATTTTACAAGTACATTTCCCCGCAACATATCCAAAACCTGTATTCAAACTACAACCATTTCCATCACAGTGTTGACACAGTGTATTGCATTTAAAACTGATGCCGCCACATTGACCATTGGTACATTTATCTGAGCGCGTGCATTTCTGCCGATCATCACAAGATATTCCATTTCTGTTTGTCCATGCAGATGTAGTCGTAGCTGAATTGCACCACTGAAAGAATAGATAAGAAACAGGGATTTTTCAACCAGTACTTTGTAAAACATTAAATTCAGGATGTAATAGCTGGAATGACAAGTTACGGAAGCTATTCTTGAAATGAGACTGGGTGAAGTACGAAAAATTTGTTTTACGAAAAAAATTAAAATTTTGCAACAATTTAACTTAAAACCAAGTCGGAAATCATTTTAGTTTATTTCGCACATATCACAATCCACAATAAATATTATTGGTGTTGTTAATGTAGTTGTTCAGAAACCCTCAGACTGGTCTTACAACGTTCTAACTAGTGGGATGACTACAGACTTAATTTAAAGATAAAAATCAGAGCCCAGCAAATAATTTTAAAGTTTATATGACATGAAATTTCTTATTTTCTTAAATGAAAGAAGTCTTTAAGTTGTAGTGTAACTTATTTTTCAGTTTCTTTTTTTTATGGAGATATTTCTCAGTTCTCGAGATATTTCAATTTGTTTGATATGTACATTTACATGAATATGTGTGAATATGTCCGCTAATTTATGACGTCATGTTGGTTGCAAGCTCAAAAACTCTAAAAATTGTTGATATCAGTTCAAGTTTTTCTCCAGTATTTCATCACATTTACCAGTGAGTGAAGTTTGAAATTATCATCTTGGATGATAGCAGTGATATTCAACCATTTTGATGAGCTTGCAACCAACGTGACGTCATAAATTAGTGGACATATTCACACTCATTTACATATCAAACAAATTGAAATATCTCGGGAACAAATCATAAAAATAGGAAACTGAAAAATAAGTTACACTACAGCTTAAAGAGTTATTTCATTTAAGAAAATAAGAAATTTCATTTCATATACACTTTAAAACCAAACATAATAAAAGTAAAACAATACAAGATATACAGACTACAGAGTTGTCTAAGTAATTTTTCAACATGTATATAAACAGTGACTACAGACAACACTATGACCAAAACAAAAATCGTCCCGCTCTGAATTATTGCTGACCTGGAGATTACTGTGATGCGACTAAAGGAGATACCTCTATAGCCGTGACGAAATCATTCCGATCTGACTTGAGTTACAAGACGCAAGCTTTGAAAGAATTGAACTGTTTTTCACCCTACCTGACATGTGTTCCCGGGTTTTGCCGTATTCGCGCGGTAACATGTGTCCACATTGTTGGTCTTGATGATACAGTATCCGGACTTCGGTTTACACACGTCGTTGTAGTGATCTTGGCATGATAGACACGTGTAAGGTTGTCCACTACAGTCTCCATTAATACAACGATCGTTTCTTGTCCTCACATTATTATCGCTACATTTGAGGTTGTTGTTTGCTGTCCATCTTGTTGGGTTGTTACTGTTGCATTGCTGGACGAATAGATATGTTACAATGCATTTTGTGCAAACTTTTTAGTTACGATTACGATTAGCATTTCTATAGCGGAAATTGACATGTGAATATGATCATCAAGTATTACGCTTACCTACTTGCATACACGGCAAAAAACGCCGAGCCCGCTGTTTAACAGGACTGAACAATGTTTTGCTGCCCACGTTGTTCACACTTGTCAACAATATTGAACAATGTTGTTGAGCCTGAATCGGGTGTAACAATATTGTTCAATATTGTTGACAACTGTGAACAATGTGGACAGCAAAGCATTGTTCAATCCTGTTTTCATCAGTATTGCATCAACCTGAGCGTTTTACGCGTGTACTTAACCTAGATTATTTTATCTTCACGACAATTGTGATATTACTTTCTCAAATTCATTAATAATTCATGAGTAATTCAGCCAATGATAATCATCTATTTGATCACAAGATGCCATTTGGATACTTGATGAAAGTCACTTGTGTTTTCATCAAATATCTTAATTACGCATGCAAAATTACTTGAATAGAATTCCTAATTACGTTATGCTTGGTTAAGAATTCTATTCAAATCAGCAAACGAAAACATTCTGTCACGTCTCGATTCATTTGAGAAGCCATATAAACAACTCGAGCTCGTGTCTCACCGGGATATCCAAACACTCGAAAACAATGTATGAAAACACTCGCGCATCGCGCTCGTGTTCTCATACATTGTTTTCTCGTGTTTGGATATCCCGGTGAAACACTCGCTCTCGTTGTTCATATATTACTTCTTAACTGTGTTTATCCTAACCCACCCTGTCAACTTTCCCTGTGGGAGGAAAGCGGAGCACCCGGAGAAAACCTACGACTTTCGGCAGAGCGTTGACTGACACTTTTCACATGAGTCCATAGCGAGAATCGAACCCACGAACTCAGAGGTGAAAGACGCTTGCCAGGGCCTGGCGCTTGCTCTGACTACTGCACCACCGAAGCCTAAGTTTCAGTGTCGATACGTTTCTAGTGGATGAGCACTAATAGCGTTATATCCCTCCGTCTTACTTTTTTAGTTATTTACTTACCTACCTACATATCTAAATGTATACATACCTACCTACATACCAACCTACCTAACTCTAACTAACTACCTAACCTACACACGTAAAAACGCACAAGTTGTAACAAACCTGTAGCAGACTTGTAGCAATGCTGTTCCAACATCTTGTCAACAGGATGTGTTCGCACTGCTTGTTCCCAGCTTGTTGACAAGTTGTCGACGGCTTGTTGACAACTTACTACAAGGTTGTTGAGCTCAACAGACTTGTTACAAGTTGTTCCAACAACTTGTTATCGTCCTGCAATTCAACAATTTGTCAACAAGTTCTGAGTGACAATCTTGTAGCAACTTGATAAAATAACAGCATTGTTACAACTTGTTCACAAGCTTGCTACAAGCCTGTTGCAGACACATCTTGTTGACAAGTTGTGAGATTTTTACGTGTGTACCTGCCTGCCTGCCTGCCTGCCTGCCTGCCTGCCTGCCTGCCTGCCTGCCTGCCTGCCTGCCTGCCTGCCTGCCTACCTACCAAGACACATACCTACTGACCTATGCTTTAAATATGACCCGCTCACCTGGCATGGTTTTCCTGGTCGTATATTCCCATTTGTGTAACATTTTCCATCGATCACACAGAAACCAGGCTTGATCTGACATCTATTACCATCACATCTTTCACATGATCTGCACGTGAACGGGGTTCCTGTGCATGCGCCGTTCACGCATCGATCATTCCTCGTACACAAATTGCCATCACTGCAAGAGAGCGCATTATTGCTGGTCCATACCGTCTCTCGATATCTTTGACAATCCTAGACGTAGAAAATTGAAGTATACAGACAATACAGTAATACAGTCCAATCTATAGTGTTGGTGATTTGTGTTTGGTTTAGGTGGTAAGAAGTCATGCTTAGTTAGCTTAGCCTCTGGTTTCCTCCTGTAGTAACCCTGGACATTTCAGATTTTCAGGGATAACTAGGGATGGCCATAACTGGATCTATAGGGGGAACAGTTTAAAACCATAGGTTTAAAACTGATAATTCTATCAAGATTAATTAAAAGACTCATTAATAATTCATGAAGAAAATTCAAAAGAAATAAATGTTTAATCAATGTTTGTAAATCGGATAAAGATTTGTCCTGATTTACACAAACTTCAGCTTTGATTTTCTCGGCTTAGACAATGTTTATTTTTAAAATTACTTCGACAATGAACTCATAAGAGCCTTGGGCTCGACTTTGTATATCAGATAAAGATCGGCTGCTCATGTTTTAACTAGTACATAAAACTGCTTCAGTTTGGTTACTACTAACGGCTCAGTATTAAAGGTTGAAATAGTCTATACGGTATATTACCTGGCATTGATTCCCGGGGTTCACTCTACCGTAGTTATAACATACACCACCAATACGGCACTGTCGCAGTTGACACCTAGTACCAACTTTTGTGTAGCATGAATTGCAACTACATGTATAACTGCCTTGAACATTTTGACAGTTGTGCTGGCACGGTCCTTGCAGGCATTCGTTAACATCTGAAATGTTAATGGGGTCAATATTTGATGGTTGTGGCCATGGTATTTGTAGTGGTTGTTGCATATTTATTGTATTTTCTAACTCTAGACGATACATAACTTTAGACGTTCTTTGAAATAAGACAAACTAAACTTTTAGTTCCAATGTCTTGTTTATTCATAACTATATCATTTGCTTATTTTGGACATTGTTCTAATTGTAAATTTGTCGAAAATACAAATCAGAATATAATACGCATGTGACGAGATTTTTTCATAAACTTACAATGCAAACTCCTTATTTATGTTAGATCATACGTCTACCATCAATATTACCATGATGATGATGATGGTGATGATGATGATGGTGGTGGCAATAAAGATGGTGATTATCAGATTATGGTAATGATGGAGTTATGATTGTGGTGATCATGATGGTGATGATAATGATGATAACGATGGTGATGATAATGATGGTTGTGGTAATAAAGATGGTGGTGATTATGGTAATGACGGGGTTGACGATTGGGGTGATGATAATGATGGTGACGATATGATTGTGGTGGTAATAAAGATGGTGGTGGTGATTATGATAATAACGGAGTTGATGATTATGATGGTGATGATGGTGGTGACGATGGTTGTGATGGTGATATACCATAAAGATGGTGGTGTTTTGATTGTGATAATTAATAATGGTGCGATGGTGATATTGATGATAATAATATGGCGGTGATAGTCATAGTGATAAATGTAGTGCGGAAGAAACTATGGTTGTTGTGATAATGTTGGTGATGGGGATGGTAATAATAATAATCACAATGATGATAATATGGTGATAATGATGGTGGTGATACATGTAATGATGAAGAAATGATGGTTGTTACAATGGTGTGGTGCATGATGATGATGGTGTTGATAATGATGATGATACGGTGATGAAATGATGGTTATTACTGGTAATGAGACGGTGGTGATGGTAACACCAATATATTTATAAAAGTTTTTATTACGTTTCTACCTACCCCTATCACAGCACGTTCCCGTCCATCCCGCGTTACAGTTGCACCGTCCATAGGCAGGTCTTCCTCCATTACGACACGCGTTTCTGTTACATGCCCGGGTCTCCGAAAAGTGATATGGACATTTTCCCCCACAGCACTCGGTCACGCTTTTCCCCCTGTGTCGTGTCTGGGTGCCCGCATAACCACACTGGTGGCTACACCCGCTCCACCATGACCATGATCCTGGTACACAATTTCGTGGTGGTGGCGAGGGTGGGCGGCGTCGACGTCGCCTAGGGCATCCTTCTCCGACCTTTGGGAATACCAAGAGTGCGATGCATAGCGGAATGAACTTCATTTATAGTCGTCGGATTTTTGGATCGAGTGGTACGGAATGTTTTTTCTTGTTTGGGATTGTTCAACTCAGATGCTTTTGTTTCTTGATAAAGTAGACTCTCAGTCTTCTTATTTGTATATTTCTTCTTTGTTTTTCTTGTTCATGAAACAACCTAATTGAATAATAATGAATTTGAATAATCTTTTAATAAAATCTACACACAGTCGAATCGCTGCCAACTTGGTTCAAATTTATTGGCGGCACAGTTGCCTGAGTGTTCGTCATTCACTATCAGTTATGATTGTGTATGCGCGCTTCCACACCAAGTACCCAAGACACTCATATGGGAAAAGTTAATAGACTAAACTATGAAACAGCGGGTAGGGAACTCTTTAGTTGCCTCAATTCCTCCATTTAAGGAAAGTGATATTTTTCTACCAAAAGGTAATTATTTACTTCATTAATAAACTTATTTTGTTTTGTCGAAAACATCTTAAACTATTTATTTTCCAAAACTTTCGATTTATATAATTCATGATCTCCATTTTTTAGAGATTAGTGCAAATATTATACCACAAATCTAAGAAAAACAAATCATATTTACTATCATTTAAACCTATAAGACAATAAGTATAGGTTATTTTGAGGCAACGAGGGGATATGTGATTTATTCACCAAGGCGCGCAAGTACTTATTTTTCACATTGCGAGGTCGCGTTAATGAGACAGAATAGAAATAATTCTTAATGCCATATTGCCTTCGTGATGTTGTTTTTTGTGCTGCAAAGACATAATGATTGCAGGTGAATATTAGAGGGGATTATTAGAGGGAAATTGATTAGAGGGGAATATTGAATATATTCCCCGATAAGAACAAAGGAAACCGAGCAGGTTTCAAATATTCAAAAATATTTGAAACCTGCTCTAAAATAAGTTCTAAAATATTCAACCTAATATTCATCTTCCACCACAGAAACTTATTCAAGTTTCTGTGGCGGAAGATGAATATTAGGTTGAATATTTTAGAACTTTTTATTGCCTGTAGAAGTCTTTGAATATTAAAAGTTATATTCAAATTTATACCAGGTATGATTCCTAAAACTTATTCATATATCGAGCGAGATATATCATAATTTCCAGACAGCGCGCAAGCAGAAAACTTCGCCTGCCGCGGCTGGGTTTCAAACCCACGACCTTCGAGTTACTAGATCGATGCTCTACCAACTGAGCTACACGGTCAGGACGGATTAAAGACTGGAAATTGCAAACTATTATACTGAATGTCATAAACATACTCGTTTATATTAATCCAGCATTGATCTAGTAACTCGAAGGTCGCAGGTTCGAAAACCAGCCGCGGCAGGCAAAGTTTTCTGCTTGCGCGCTGTCTGGTTTAATCTTTAATTTGTCCGACGAGGACGAATTATATAGCTAGTCCTCTGATGCATGCGCGAATTAGTCTGTCCTCCAGAGTGCAGTTAATTAAGCTCAATTCCCAATTCTGTGTTGACTCTATAAGAACAGGTTCCTGCGTGTTTACGTCCAAATCGAAAGCACTCCTAGTTCTTGGAATTGTTCACTGATGGCAAACAGACGCCCAACTGTTGTTGAGCGTTGCTATTAAATTCGGATAAATACAAATAATTTTCAGTTAAGGTTACACATTCAAGAGATGTACCGAAATGTATCTGTTGGCAATTTGTATACAAATTTTCTCTGTATTCTTATTTTGTTTTGTCGAAAACACCAAGTCTACTTCTTTCGCAAAACTTTCGAATTATAATTCATGATCTTCATTTCTTAGAAATTAATGCAAATATTATATCACAAATCTAAGAAAAACAAATCATATTTATTATTATTTAAACCTACTCAGTATAAGACAGAGAACTGATTCAAGTTTCAGTGGGGAAAGATGAATATTGAATATTACGTTTTGAAGTAGTGTGAATATGAACATTGATGCTAGGAATATGTATCTATTAAATTTATGAAATTATATATATATATATATATATATATATATATATATATATATATATATATATATATATATATATATATATATATATATATATATATATATATATATATATGTATATATATATATATATGTACTATTTAAAAAACGAGCAGGAGTGTTTTATTAGACCTAATAAAACACGACCTGCGAGTTTTTTAAATGGCTTCAAAAACGTTTGCATAATAAGTCAAATCTTTATATAAAAATCTTTATATAAAAATCTTTATATAAAAATCTTTATATAGTTTGCATAACAATGGTCTTTTGTTAAAGTGTTCTTTAGCTGGTATAAAGACGTATGCACGTGACTCATTTCTTACTCAAGATTGGATAATTGCTTCATGAATTATTAATGAGTTTTTGAAATAACCGTCACATTCACATTCATAGAGACTTTACATTCCATTCTTAATTTCCGGCTTGTTATTCCATATTAACGAATAAAATCAAGCGGAACGATAGACATTATAAATAGAGGTGTAATGACTCTTGCCATATACTCTGATGAAGGCTGGCAGCATGCATGCAGTATATATATATATATATATATATATATATATATATATATATATATATATATATATATATATATATATATATATATATATATATATATATTATATTAATCTCTAAGAAATGAAGATCATGAATTATAAATCGAAAGTTTTGCGAAAGAAATAGACTTGGTGTTTTCGACAAAACAAAATAAGAGTACAGAGAAAATTTGTGTACAAATTGCCAACAGATACATTTCGGTACATCTCTTGAATGTGTATCCTTAACAGCTTAACTGAAAATGATTTGTATCTAAACTCCGAATTAGCAACGCTCAACAACAATTGGGCGTCTGTTTGCCATCAGTAAACAATTCCAAGAACTAGGAGCACTTTCGATTTGGACGTAAACACGCAGGAACCTGTTCTTATATAGAGTCAACACAGAATTGGGAATTGAGCTTAATTAGTGCACTCTGGAGGACAGACTAATTCGCGCATGCATCAGAGAACTATAGGATATAATTCGTCCTCGTCGGACAGATTAAAGGTAGGAGATATATCATAATTTCCAGACAGCGCGCAAGCCAGCTGGCAGAAAACTTTACCTGCCGCGGCTGGTTTTCGAACCCGCGACCTTCGACTTAATTACTAGATCAATGCTGGATTAATATAAACGAGTATGTTTATGACATTCAGTATAATAATTCGCAATTTCCGGTCTTTAATCCGTCCTGACCGTGTAGCTCAGTTGGTACACAGCATCGATCTAGTAACTCGAAGGTCGCGAGTTCGGAACCCAGCCGCGGCAGGCGAAGTTTTTTGCTTGCGCGCTGTGCCGCTGTCTGGAAATTATGATATATCTCACTCGATATATATATATATATATATATATATATATATATATATATATATATATATATATATATATATATATATATATATATATATATATATATATATGTATATGAATAAGTTTTAGGAATCATACCTGGTATAAATTTGAATATAATTTTTTATATTCAAAGACTTCTACAGGCAATAAAAAGTTCTAAAATATTCAACCTAATATTCATCTTCCACCACAGAAACTTGAATACGTTTCTGTGGTGGAAGATGAGTATTAGGTTGAATATTTTAGAACTTATTTTAGAGCAGGTTTCAAATATTTTTGAATATTTGAAACCTGCTCGGTTTCCTTTGTTCTTATTGGGGAATATATTCAATATTCCCCTCTAATGAATTTCCCTCTAATAATCCCCTCTAATATTCACCTGCAATCATTATGTCTTTGCAGCACAAAAAACAACATCACGAAGGCAATATGGCATTAAGAATTATTTCTATTCTGACTCATTAACGCGACCTCGCAATGTGAAAAATATAAGTACGTAATTTTGAGGCACCTCGGGGATATGTGTTTATTCACCTCGGCGCTGCGCGCCTTGGTGAATAAATCACATATCCCCTCGTTGCCTCAAAATAACCTATACTTATTGTCTTATGGGTTTAAATGATAGTAAATATGATTTGTTTTTCTCAGATTTGTGGTATAATATTTGCACTAATCTATAAAAAATGGAGATCATGAATTATATAAATCGAAAGTTTTGGAAAATAAATAGTTTAAGATGTTTTCGACAAAACAAAATAAGTTTATTAATGAAGTAAATAATTACCTTTTGGTAGAAAAATATCATTTTCCTTAAATGGAGGAATTGAGGCAACTAAAGAGTTCCCTACCCGCTGTTTCATAGTTTAGTCTATTAACTTTTCCCATATGAGTGTCTTGGGTACTTGGTGTGGAAGCGCATACACAATCATAAATTAATTATAGTGAATGACGAACACTCAGGCAACTGTGCCGCCAATAAATTTGAACCAAGTTGGCAGCGATTCGACTGTGTGTAGATTTTATTAAAAGATTATTCAAATTCATTATTATTCAATTAGGTTGTTTCATGAACAAGAAAAACAAAGAAGAAATATACAAATAAGAAGAATATCAACAAACAAAAGCATCTGAGTTGAACAATCCCAAACAAGAAAAACATTTCGTACCACTCGATCCAAAAATCCGACGACTATAAATGAAGTTCATTCCGCTATGCATTGCACTCTTGGTATTCCCAAAGGTCGGAGAAGGATGCCCTAGGCGACGTCGACGCCGCCCACCCCCGCCACCACCACGAAATTGTGTACCAGGATCATGGTCATGGTGGAGCGGGTGTAGCCACCAGTGTGGTTATGCGGGCACCCAGACACGACACAGGGGGAAAAGCGTGACCGAGTGCTGTGGAGGAAAATGTCCATATCACTTTTCGGAGACCCGGGCATGTAACAGAAACGCGTGTCGTAATGGAGGAAGACCTGCCTATGGACGGTGCAACTGTAACGCGGGATGGACGGGAACGTGCTGTGAGAGGGGTAGGTAGAAACTTAATAAAAACTTTCATAAATATATTGGTGTTACCATCACCACCGTCTCATTAGCAGTAATAACCACCATTTCATCACCATATCATCATCATTATCAACACCATAATCACCACCCCACCATTGTAACAAACATCATTTCTTCATCATTACATGTATCACCACCATCATTATCACCATATCATCATCGTGATTATTATTATTACCATCTCCATCACCAACATTATCACAACAACCATAATTTCTTCAGCACTACATTTATCACTATGACTATCACCGCCATATTATTATCATCAATATCACCATCCCACCATTATTAATTATCACAATCAAAACACCACCATCTTTATGGTATATCACCATCACAACCATCATCACCACCATCATCACCATCATAATCATCAACTCCGTTATTATCATAATCACCACCACCATCTTTATTACCACCACAATCATCGTCACCATCATCATCATCACCCCAATCGTCAACCCCGTCATTACCATAATCACCACCATCATCACCATCTTTATTACCACAACCATCATTATCATCACCATCGTTATCATCATTATCATCACCATCACCATCATGATCACCACAATCATAACTCCATCATTACCATAATCTGATAATCACCATCACCATCTTTATTAACACCACCATCATCATCACCATCATCATCATCACGGTAATATTGATGGTAGACGTATGATCTAACATAAATAAGGAGTTTGCATTGTAAGTTTATGAAAAAATCTCGTCACATGCGTATTATATTCTGATTTGTATTTTCGCCAAATTTACAATTAGAACAATATCCAAAATAAGCAAATGATATAGTTAACAAGACATTAGAACTAAAAGTTTAGTTTGTCTTATTTCAAAGAACGTCTAAAGTTATGTATCGTCGAGAGTTAGAAAATACAATAAATATGCAACAACCACCACAAATACCATGGCCACAACCATCAAATATTGACCCCATTAACATTTCAGATGTTAACGAATGCCTGCGAAGACCGTGCCAGCACAACTGTCAAAATGTTCAAGGCAGTTATACATGTAGTTGCAACTCATGCTACACAAAAGTTGGTACTAGGTGTGAACTGCGACAGTGCCGTATTGGTGGCGTATGTTATAACTACGGTAGAGTGAACCCCGGGAATCAATGCCAGGTAATATACCGTATAGACTATTTCAACCTTTAATACTGAGCCGTTAGTAGTAACCAAACTGAAGCAGTTTTATGTACTAGTTAAAACATGAGCAGTCGATATTTATCTGATATACAAACTCGAGCCGAAGGCTCTTATGAGTTCATTGTCGAAGTAATTTTAAAAATAAACATTGTCTAAGCCGAGAAAATCAAAGCTGAAGTTTGTGTAAATCAGGACAGATATTTATCCGATTTACAAACATTGATTAAACATTTATTTCTTTTGAATTTTCTTCATGAATTATTAATGAGTCTTTTAATTAATCTTGATAGGATTATCAGTTTTAAACTGTTCCCCCTATAGATCCAGTTATGGCCATCCCTGAAATGTCCAGGGTTACTACAGGAGGAAACCAGAGGCTAAGCTAACTAAGCATGACTTCTTACCACCTGAACCAAACACAAATCACCAACACTATACATTCGACTGTATTACTGTATTGTCTGTATACTTCAATTTTCTACGTCTAGGATTGTCAAAGACATCGAGAGACGGTATGGACCAGCAATAATGCGCTCTCTTGCAGTGATGGCAATTTGTGTACGAGGAATGATCGATGCGTGAACGGCGCATGCACAGGAACCCCGTTCACGTGCAGATCATGTGAAAGCTGTGATGGTAATGGATGTCAGATCAAGCCCGGTTTCTGTGTGATCGATGGAAAATGTTACACAAATGGGAATATACGACCAGGAAAACCATGCCAGGTGAGCGGGTCATATTTAAAGCATAGGTCAGTAGGTATGTGTCTTGGTAGGCAGGCAGGTAGGTACACACGTAAAAATCTCACAACTTGTCAACAAGATGTGTCTGCAACAGGCTTGTAGCAAGCTTGTGAACAAGTTGTAACAATGCTGTTATTATATCAAGTTGCTACAAGATTGTCACTCAGAATTTGTTGAAAAATTGGTGAATTGCAGGACGATGTTGTTGGAACAACTTGTAACAAGTCTGTTGAGCTCGACAACCTTGTAGCATGTTGTCAACAAGCCGTTGACAACTTATCAACACGCTGGGAACAAGCAGTGCGAACACATCCTGTTGACAAGTTGTTGGAACAGCATTGCTACAAGTCTGCTGCGGGTGTGTTACAACTTGTGCGTTTTTACTTGTGTAGGTTAGGTAGTTAGTTAGAGTTAGGTAGGTTGGTATGTTGGTAGGTATGTATAAATTTAGATATGTAGGTAGGTAAGTAAATAACTAAAAAGATAAAAAAGGAAAGACGGAGGGAAATAACCCTATTAGTGCTCATCCACTAGAAACGTATCGACATTGAAACTTAGGCTTCGGCGGCGCAGGCGTCAGAGCAGGCGCCTTTCACCTCTGAGGTCGTGGGTTTGATTCTCGCTACGGACTCATGTGAAAAGAGTCGGTCAACGCTCTGCCGAAAGTCGTGGTTTTTCTCCGGGTGCTCCGGCGGTTTCCTCCCACAGGGAAAGTTAATTGACAGGGTGGGTTAGGATAAACGCAGTTAAGAAAGTAATATCACAATTGTTGTAAAGATAAAATAATCTAGGCTAAAGGCGGATTTCCACTAGACCATTTTTATGACGATCGTCTGAAAAATTCGCCACGAACATGCGCAGCGTCAATAATCGTCAAGCGCTCGACGAAAAGTAGAAACTAGTTCTACTTTTCGTCGAACGCTTGACGATCTTCATATTTTCAACCAATAAGATTCTGCGCTGTTTTCTTGCTGCTAGTACATCTCCACTTGTCTCTAAATCGTCCCGAATTTTTATGACGATCGTCATAAACATTGTCTGAAAATCGTCTAGTGTAGATCCGCCTTAAGTAAGTAATTAGGTAAGCGTAATAATACTTGCTGTAAAGCGCATTTGATCATATCAACGTGTTGAAACATGTAAATTGGCGCTATAGAAATGCTTATCATAATGGTAATTAAAAACTCTGCACAAAATGCATTGTAACATATCTATTTTTCCAGCAATGCAACAGTAACAACCCAACAAGATGGACAGCAAACAACAACCTCAAATGTAGCGATAATAATGTGAGGACAAGAAACGATCGTTGTATTAATGGAGACTGTAGTGGACAACCTTACACGTGTCTATCATGCCAAGGTCACTACAACGACGTGTGTAAACCGAAGTCCGGATACTGTATCATCAAGACCAACAATGTGGACACATGTTACCGCGCGAATACGGCAAAACCCGGGAACCCGTGTCAGGTAGGGTGGAAAACAGTTAAATTCATTCAAAGTTTGCTTCTTATAACTCAAGTCAGATCGGGATGATTTCGTTTCGGCCATAGAGGTATCTCCTTTAGTCGCATCACAGTAATCCTTTAAGGTAGACCGTGGCCATTATCTCCAGGTCAGGAAGAATTCGGAGCGGGACGATTTTGTTTCGGGCATAGTGTTGCCTCTAGTCACTGTTTATGTACATGTTGAAAAATTACTCAGACAACTCTGTAGTCTGTATATCTTGTATTGTAAATAACGAAACGTTAGCTATTATTTTTTTACTTTTATTATGTTTGGTTTTAAAGTGTATGTGAAATGAAATTTCTTAATTTCTTAAATGAAATAACTCTTTATAAGCTGTAGTGTAACTTATTTTTCAGTTTCTTGTTTTTATGGTTTGCTCCCGAGATATTTCAATTTGTTTGATATGTAAATGAGTGTGAATATGTCCGCTAATTTATGACGTCATGTTGGTTGCAAGCTCTTCAAAATGGTTGAATATCACTGCTATCATCCAAGATGATAATTTCAAACTTCACTCCAATGAGTGAAGTTTGAAATTATCATCTTGGATGATAGCAGTGATATTCAACCATTTTGAAGAGCTTCATTTACCAATGTAAATGTGATGATATACTGGAGAAAAACTTGAACTGACATCAACAGCTTTTAGAGTTAATACATTTATAACCAGTGTAAGTTGAGCTTGCAACCAACATAAGGTCATAAATTAGCGGACATATTCACACTCATTTACATATCAAACAAACTGAAATATCTCGAGAACAAACCATAAAAAAAAGAAACTGAAAAATAAGTTACACTTCAACTTAAAGAGTTCTTCCAATTTAAGAAAATAAGAAATTTCATGTCATATATACTTTAAAGTTATTTGCTGGGCTCTGATATTTTTATCTTTAAATTAAGTCTGTAGTCATCCCACTAGTTAGAACGTTGTAAGACCAGGCTGAAGGTTTCTGAACAACTACATTAACAACACCAATAATATTTATTGTGGATTGTGATATGTGCGAAATAAACTAAAATGATTTCCGACTTGATTTTAATTTAAGTTAAGTTGTTGTTGAAATTTTATTATATTAATTTCATTTCAAGAATGGCTTCCGTAACTTGTCATTCCAGCTATTACATAGTTAAAAAATCCCTGTTTTTTATCTACTCTTTCAGTGGTGCAATTCAGCTACGACTACATCTGCATGGACAAACAGAAATGGAATATCTTGTGATGATCGTCAGAAATGCACGCGCTCAGATAATTGTACCAATGGCCAATGTGGCGGCATCAGTTTTAAGTGCAATACACTGTGTCAATACTGTGATGGAAATGGTTGTAGTTTGAATACAGGCTTCGGATATGTTGCGGGGAAATGTACTTGTAAAATAGCAGGTGAGTGAACATTGGCGACGGGAAAATGTCTGCCAAAATAGGAGTAAGTACAGGAAAAGCATTTACTGTACGGAAACGTCTATAAAGGTATAAGCTCAGACAAGAAGAAGAGTTTACTCCTCGTAATTTTGGTGATAATGATATTGTTGGTGATGTGGTGGTTGCGATGTTGATGGTAATGATTTGAATTGAGTGGCGTCTTACATAAACACATTTACTACTGACTGGGTCAACTAAGGTTAAACTTACATTTCTTGGTAACAGGTAATGATTACAACCATCAACAGCTAAACCCAGGCAATGAATGTCAGTGGTGTGACCTTTATGACAAAGCTTCCAGAACAAGCTCTGTATGGACCAACAAACCCGCTGTCTCTTGTAACGATGGCAACGCCTGCACGAAACAAGATCTCTGTCAAAGCGGCCGATGTATGGGTAAAGCATACAGTTGTCAATCATCCTACCCCCAGATCAGTTGCATACAGCGCTCTGAGTGTGTGGGAAACGGGACATGTAGGGATATCATGAGACCCAGAGCGACAATATGCCGTTCACCTGTGGATAAGTGTGATCAACCTGAAAGGTGAGACGACAGTTTGGTAGTTAAGGAGATTTTTTTGAAAGTTGAGTCTTGGAAAGCTAGGAAACATTGTTTCCTAGCCATGTTTCCCGAGAGTGGGCAAAACAGGAAACATTGCTTCATAGCCATGTTTCCAGAAGGTGGACAAACCAGGAAACATTGTTTCCTATAGCCATGTTCCTGAAGATGGGCAAACCAGGAAACATTGTTTCCTAGCCATGTTTCCCAAAGATGGGCAAACCAGGAAACATTGTTTCCTAGCCATGTTTCCCAAAGATGCATGGGCAAACCAGGAAACATTGTTTCCTAGCCATGTTCACCAAAGATGGGAAAACAGGAAACTTTGTTTCCTAGCCATGTTACCGGAAGGTATTGCATGAAATTTAAGGCAAAATTAAAAGTTTAAAGAACCACGATTTTCAGCAACAAAACGTAGCAACATGTTGGCAACCTAAATTCCCCCTCCAAAAAGTGTCCGCTACTGGTATACTTGTAGATTTAAAAAGGACAAATAACATGACCAGAAACAAAATTCTGAGTCTAATTTCTCTTTCACAGATGTAACGGTGCCCTGGGAACATGTCCACCACGTGTTGTCGACGCAATTAGACTTCAAGGAGGGCAATCTGCTTTAACTCTTTCAAACTTTGCAAGTTCCATCGCATATCAACCAACCACGGACAAATTCTACCTCAAACTAAC